GAAGACCAGTAATGACTATTTAAATTATTATTCTTTACACCTACTGGCCTGTACAAGTATTGCCTTGTCACTTATAATAAATAAACCATTGATGTAACTGTTGTCTACATATAGAAAATGGGGTGGGGATGGGTGAGGAAAATTGTCATTGAAAGGATCTTAGGACAGTGGTTGGCAAATTAGGGCTCGCCACATGCATCTTTAGCAACCTGAGTGCGGCTCGGCCAGACTGCCTTAAAGCGATTTTCACTCCCAAAAACGGACAGGTTCTTGAAAAGAAATTTGGCTCTCAATAATTTTTTATCGTCCTGATGCTGATTTTTGGCTCTTTTGACTAATGAGTTTGCTGACCACTGCCTTAGGACAAAGCAAAGCAAGCAAATGGTATTGCTCTAATTTCTAAAAGGCCCACAATATTATAGCAAGTAGGGAGGATCCATAAGTGTAATTACATCCTAGTGTTAATGCTTAAAACAAAATAAAAAATTACAAAAATAACAAAAATTCCGAGCTCAACAGTATATAGACTACAAAAATTTATAATACAAATAACTGCTAAAACAATAAAATACATTACGCTACATTTGACCTGAGATAACTAAGAATTATTAGAATATCTTACACAGATCAGTGGCTCCCATCTCTCGTTTTTGGTGGCCAGAAATGTCTATGACATGCCAAAAATGTCTGTGGTGACAAAATATGTCTCTGGAATGCCAGATATGTCTAAGGTGACCAAATATGTCTATGACATGTCAGAAATATCCTTGGTAGCCAAATATGTCTATGACATGCCAGAAATGTCTAAGGTGACCAAAAGTCTATTACAAGAAATGTCTCTGGTGACATCATATATCTATGGCATGCCAAAAATGTCTAAGTTGACCAAATATGTCAATGACATGCCTGAAATGTCCTTAATGACCCAATATGTCTATGACATTCAAGAAATTTCAATGGTGACAACATATGTCCATGACATGCCAGAAATTTCCTTGGTGACCTGAGTGTATACATAATTGGATAGAAAAAAATAAATATTTCCATTGAACCATAACTGATGAGATGGGAACCACTGGTAATTGGAAGCAAATAGAACAAGACGTGAGGCCTGCAATTTAAATAAAACGTAATTGAAAATAAGGGAATCAATACTCTGAATATTATGAATTTACTACATCATGTACATTTGATATTTTCAGTCTATGATAAGTCAGTTATAAAACTACTAATATGTTCTATAACATAAAAATAACAACAAACATGTCACACCTTAAATATAATTGTAATGAAATTTAAAAAAAAACAACAAAAAAAAAACCAACTTATTTATCAGCAAATTTAATTAATTTTTTTTAAATAGATTACTTGGTTTGAAAAAAAACCATCCAAGTTATAATGTATTTATTGGAAATATTTAACTTCCAAACAAAAAGAAAAAAAAAAGGTCATTCTTCGCTCCTGTCTCTACTTTCATTTCATTTCTTGTTCACTAAATTTATCGACGCATAAAGGAATTTGCAAGCTTTGCTCAGTTTGCTACAAATAGTTTAAGGCACAACTTATAATGTGGAACCCTTGAGCAAGCACTTTTTTTGCTATGGCCCAAAATGAAGCATTGCTATAAAAAGAAATTTTGCAACAATTTGCTGAAAGTATTCATAAGTATTTCTGACCCCACCATGTATAAATTTAAAAAATCTAAGCCGCCATTTTTGCCCTAAAAATTTTGAAGAGATATTTTAATAAGCCTACTCTTAGAGGCATCACCTTTTAAATATGGTTAAATAAAGCAAGTCCACAAATAAGTCCAAGCAATTTTTGATGCTGCATTACCGAAACCCTAATATATTTTAAAAAAACCTAATTATATTAACAGATTGAAACAAAATGTCTGGAGTGTATTAGTTCTACAATTTCATATGGACCATGTAATTAGTAGTAACTGAAAGAGAGAAAGAGAGAAAAAGAGAGAGTATGTGAATTATTTACCTTCTAAATAAAATAATTTCAAGACAATATTTAAAAAAAAAAAATTATACATTTAAACCCACATCATACAGTACTGGTTCTGCTTTATCAACATTTAAATTGAAGCCTTTAAGTGCAATGAGCATCTAGGTATGATTTATAAGTAAATCAGCCTGTAATAATTAATAAAGCTAAACAAAAAATTTGAATTAAAATGTGCCATGATGATAATGTGATTCTCTTTGAATAAACAGATTTTCAGGGAAAAAGGCATAAACAGGTTGGAGTGGTGCTCTATATATACTTTTTTTTTAAAATTTAAAGAGACCAATTGCTAAACATGAGTATATATTTTCCTTGTGTTTCAAATTCGGCACCTTAAAATCATCCTTATCAGCTTCTTTATAAGTGAACAAACAGCCTAAAAAATGGTTTTACAAAAAATTCATTAAAATTCTTACTCATATTAAATTGTTTAAAAGTGCCCCAAAAAACCACTTGAAATTAACTTTTTTGTGTGTGTGTTTGGTGTCAAAGAGAGATGTTACTATACATTAGAATTTATAATCCTTGTGTTTGTGGTTATTAGGAAATGTGTCACATCTGTAACAGTAAAAAGTGGCACAACAGTAAAAGTGTCCATTACTGGAAAGGATCTCTAAAATGATTGCTACTGGCTTCCCAATTTCAGGAAAAGGGCCATCTTTAACTTTGAGCCAAAGGAAAGTAGAATTCTGTCGAGACATATACATTTCTAATTTGCTAATTATATATAGATATAAATTATTTTTACTTTGATAATCATCAGTGTATGCTACCCCGGCATCAGATTATAATGTTTTCATAGTGTATGCTACCCCTGCATCAGATTATACTGTTTTCATATACTCCAAACTAACACACCAGAGCTAGCAGTTGTCGTTCCAGTTCCACTAACATTTTACATAGACCACATTTCTTTAATATCAATTGAAAGGGTATAAGAATAACAAACAGTAAATTGTTTCCCAACTTGTGACTCTGAAAGTTCTTAGTGATCATTAAACAAAAATTCTGGTGGATGGGGTATTCTATTTTTTAAAATTGGAGTGACGCGGGTATGGTAACCACCTTCAGGAAAATATAAGAACCATAGTAAACTGAGTTTCAGTCTCTTTTTTCCTAAATTTAATTCTATCGGAGCAACAAAAAAAAAAAAAATCCAAACAATTTAATTACAATGAGAATCAGTTACTACCCATTGATTTTCTTTGAAGAATTTACTTACAATGAGAATCAGTTACTACCCATTGATTTTCTTTGTAGAATTTAATTACAATGAGAATCAGTTACTACCCATTGATTTTCTTTGTAGACTGTATAATGTCCAATTGTGCCACTGATTTACTACAAATAAACACCAATGACCAACAGAACAATACATCTATGAGAAAAAAAAAATATTTAGTTATCTCTGTGTAATTGTCACACCTGGAACTGAGGAATTTAAAAAAAATTGTTATCACATAACGGAAGGAACAAATGTTTAAAAAAAATTAAAAATTAGAACAATAAAGTAAAAACAAAAGTAGTCGTAACAGTAGAGTAAAATTAAGTTATCTTGAAAGTTTCAACACTTCTAACACAGATGGTTAACAACATATCCAATGTACAAATATTTATATAGCCACGTAGAGAGATTTTGTGCGATAATTGATTATTTAATGGTAATCATGCAAAGAAAAAGACAAATAGAGGCCAAGCTTTGTTGGTGCCTCGGTACAAGAAAATGAAGTGTATTTATAAGGCATCAGCAATGAAAATCCAATCGCATTTTCAAACTAGTAGGCACACATTGAATCGATGGGCAAGCTGGATACGCATAGGATATATTTATCAAGTCCTATTCAAGTCTTTAGGTAACCAAGGGGGGAGGAGTGGTGGTGGGAATGGCACCTCTAAAAATATTTGAAGGATTTATGTGCCTCACTCAACATGTCTATCCATAATTGGGACATAGCTACTCTGAATTCAACTCAAAGCAAGGGACATATCTAACAATGATGAATGGGAATGAAGGAAGCTCCCCCCCCCTGAGAATGCATTTGACAGTTCATGGCCCTGTTTCCAAAGCAACATCCCACTCTGATGTCCTTAGTCAATATGTTACTAGTCACGTACTGTCACAGAAGCTGGGTGGATGAGGTTAAAACATCCCACTCTGATGTTCTCAGTCAATATGTTACTAGTCATGTACTGTCACAGAAACTGGGAGAATGAGGTTACAACATTCCACTATGATATTCTTAGTCAATATGTTACTAGTCACGTACGGTCACAGAAACTGGGAGAATGAGGTTACAACATCCCACTATGATATTCTCAGTCAATATGTTACTAGTCACGTACTGTCACAGAAACTGGGAGAATGAGGTTACAACATTCCACTATGATATTCTTAGTCAATATGTTACTAGTCACGTACTGTCACAGAAGCTGGGAGAATGAGGTTAAAACATCCATGAAAAAGTCTGCTCCCCAGGTGACAAAATATTTTCCAATTATTCCACACAGTCAACACCTATGGTCAAGCCAACTATTTCCACCAATCGAAAAAGCCCCATGGCAATGAGAAACCAAATCACAGTGCATGCAAATAAAGCTTAAGAGAAAAACAATTTTTAAAATGTCAACGTTAACACATGTGGAATGCATTACTTTATCAAATTAAGTGGGGCAAAACATAATTCTTTCAACAGAAACCTTTAAAAAAAAAAACAGTTATATTTTTTCCAATTTTTTTAAATTCCTAAATATTTTGTTTTACAATAAAATATCTGTACTTTTGGGGGCAACTTTAAAATAAAAATAATTAAATAATTAAATTCTAAAAAAAATAGAGTGTAAATGAATTGAAAGAACACAAATTGAAGCAATCACAAGCTTTTCTCCTCAATACAACGGCTTATTAATAATAGAATAGAACATTTCTTTGACATTACATACACAGATTACATTGAGCTATAAAAGGGTCCTTTCCCTATACTGGGTTCTGATAATTTTGTAAGGGGATGCGAGTTCCCATGCAAACGACGAATTTTCCTCCCCTCTTCAGAAATGTGCCTCAATGAGGCCTCCTCTTCTTGGGCGTCGGGCAGCCCCCCATACAAACCAGCAGACTTCCTGCCTCTCGACTTGTCAGAACCTGTCTCATACTCCGAGGTAGACACTGTCCGCTGGATCACTTCCACCGATTTGGGCCGAACCGGCCTCCATGATTTCGAATCAGAACACTCCAAACTACTTTTATTGAAAGGCGTCGGTCCTGGCTTGACAGGCGTCGATGGGCTGCCAGCAAAACTTTTAACCTCTTTAAGAGGACCAGCTAATGTTTTTTGCGGGGTGGGAAGTTCCAACAACTCGACATCAATATCACAGCCCCACGTGTCTTTCTTGTAGGCTTGTGGCGTTGGGTGAGCAGCACTGCCCAGAGATGCATGCTTGCGGTGCAGTGTTGCTAGTGTGGAGGAGAGCAAAGCTGTGGATGAGCTTCGTATATGTAATGCTGTGTTACTATCACTGGGTCTGACCGAGGCTTGACACACATGACTCCCATCGAGCCCTTCAGAAGCTGACTGAGCCGGTGCGGTCTTGCGAGACGCTAAGGGTGACGAGGACGACACGCTGTCCCTACTTTCTTTACCTTTGGTATCTAAGTCAAGGCCAGCGTCTGCCATCTCAGAGTCTGGTGTTTTGGTTTCAAACCTGCCCACCAGATGCCGAACCACCGACGGTTCTGCCACGTCACTCAGGGTCAATTGACTCGGGGAGTGAGGGGAGGAGGAGGAGGCTGCGCTGGACAGTGGAGAATGACCCCCAACAGATGCACTTGCACCATGTTCTGGCTTACTCAGATCCAAGGAAGATGGTGCTGCGTGAGATTTAGTTTCTACAAGGATTATATGAGATGAGCCGTTTGTTTTAAGATCTCTTTGTGAACTGAAAGGCAGCTGAGTACTATCGGCTTTGACATTCTTACTTGGACTGTTCAACAGTGCACCGGCTGGGCTGGACACCAGGGGGCCATCCCCTTTACCGATTTTAACCGGCGTGCTGCCCGTCAGGAGATCATGGGACAAACTGCTGACACCTGAGGTGTCACTCTCGCTGGTCCTTATCCTCGACTCAGCTCTCTCAGGCTTCCTAACATCGCTGTCTATAAGAATAATATCAGGCTTGGCTGCAGGAACTGTCTGTTTTTCTATCTTTCTGACAAAATACTTGACCATGTTAGAGCAGGAGTCCTCATCATCTTTGTCTTTTGGCTTAGCCGAGCTGGGACTCATCAGCAGGGCTGACCCGATCTCCCGAATTAAAGCAAGGGTCTCCGAGTCAATATTGCATTTGCTCTCTTGCTGTTTGACCGAGGTGACCAGCTTCTGGGCATCCGGTGGTGCATCGTTACCTCTTTGCAAGGCCGGGTCTGGACAGGGGGTCCTGGGATGTGGTTCGGTGTAATGTGGTGCTGGGTTGGACTGTGGTAACATCGAGCTGGTGCTGGCATGGGCACTGGTGCTGACATGGGCAACGGTGCTGACATGGGCAACGGTGCTGATGTGGGCGCTGGTGCTGGCATGGGCACCGGTGCTGACGTGGGCACTTGTGCTGACATGGGCGCCGGTGGAGTCTGTGACGGTCAAGGGTTTCAGTGGGCCTTTCTCAGGTTCACATTTGCTCTCCAGTTCTGAGAAAACAGATACAGTATTGAGCAACTGTAACAAGGACACAGGGCAAGAAGATGAGTGTTTTGAAACTTCTTGACTAACCAGACTTATAGGTGTAGACAAGATGGTATCATTCAAAAATCCTGAATTAAATGGCAAGAGACATAATAGTGTTTTTATTACAGTGTTTGGAAGTGCCAATTTACCTTAACCAGTCTATTGTGTAAATCTATATGCTAATGACCACATTCAGTTTGTCCCAAAAATAGCAATGTTTAACAAATACAAGTTGGAAGCAAAGTTGAAAATGCTTGCAGTAATGTTCCACATTGGAAACAGTTTGTTGAACAAGAGACACAGCATTTCCTTTAAGCGTCTTGAAAGAAGAGTATTGTCAAAATTAACTCACAAACTACCACTCAAGTACAAATTAAAGCTAAAGCCCAATCAATTAATGCTGGCTTACTAATCCCTTTTGAGATGATTTGTGAAATCTTACGTTCTGTGTGTCAACCTACCCAATGTTTGCTTCCTCACTAGTCCCGCCTCTATGGGTGTTTCCTCTTGGCCTACTCTGTGTAAAACCAAACCACTGGTGCCGGCATCAAAGTTTTCATTGAAACCTGGCAGGTTTTTTTTTTTTGGGGGGGGGGGGGGGGGGGGAGAGAGAGAGAGAGTTAAACCAATAACATTTTAGGAGGTGACAACGTGTGGTAAAACAACTTTAGGCTGATGCTGAGTGGCCATGATAATAAACTGTCATCAAATGTATCAAGTTTGAAACACAAAAGAGGTTTTTTATCCCTATGGCTCAGTGGCAAGTGTGTGCCTTACAGCCAGGAGTCAGCAGGGTAAAAGTCTATCTGGCATTGTCCCCAGTTATGGGCAGATGGACTTGTTAGACCAGTAAGGCAGATGGACTTGTTAGACCAGTAAGGCAGATGGACTTGTTAGACCAGTAAGGCAGCTTTTCTTGGAGAGAAGGAAAGTGCCATGAGTTTGTTTTTTTTAAAAAGAACCCGAACCTCCAACTAGGCAAACCTCTGACTTGGCAAACCCCAACTAGGCAAACCTCTGACTTGGCAAATCCCAAACTAGGCAAACCTCTGACTTGGCAATTCCCAAACTAGGCAAGTCCCCGACTTGGTGAACCCCCAATATGGAGCTATTATGACCCTCAGAATCTCAGGAAAAAAAAATTACATGTCCAACAGACATAAAAAAAAATTACATGACCCAGATGGATAGAAAAAAACAAAACATTTCCCAGATAGATAAAAAGGGCAAAATTGTCACTAGAGGAATCAGGTAAAGTTGAGATAACACAAGTGGCCTCACAATAAATTCAATACTTTTCTTTAAATTGATTGTATCAAGTATTAGTTATGAACAAAACATGGCACTCCTCATAATGGCTTTAAATTGAACTTTAAAAGTTATAGGTGCCAGAAAGCAGCTAGTACAGGGAAAAAAATATTTCATAATGAGCACAGCATGTGTTAATTAACTTGATGGCTTGGTTGCTTTTTATCCCATAACCTATAGAGAAATTGGATTTGATTTTCAGTGGTCCTCAAGGATGAATGGTGTGGACATTATGTACATTGTTTCATGCATGTAATATGTAGATTTCATATGGGTTGTATCATGTAACTGATGTGTAGATTTCATATGGGTTGTATCATGTAACTGATGTGTAGATTTCATATGGGTTGTATCATGTAACTGATGTGTAGATTTCATATGGGTTGTATCATGTAACTGATGTGTAGATTTCATATGGGTTGTATCATGTATGTAATGTGTGGACTTTATGTTGACTGAACCATGCATGTAATATGTGGTCTTTATGTAGACTGAATCATGCATGTAATGTGTGGACTTCATGCAGCCTGTGTCCCATCGGCAGACCTGTTTAACCTTAGGTTAGTGTCAGAGTAATATTCGGGTCTCAATAAAGTAATTTCAAGCTCCAAATAGTAATTGGGGGAATGCAATCATAAGGCAATGTATTGTGTCAGAAAATCCACATTTGATTACTTACGGCAAAACCACAAAAAACAACAACTATACAGTAACCTTTAATTTAAAATCCCCCAATCTCATTTAATTTTAAAAAAAAAAAAAAAAAAATAATTAGGTTAAAAAAAACAAAAACCTCCTAAGGCTGTAGAGTTTTTTTTAGGCTAGTCACTGTGACGTCGTCTTAGGCTTAACAAACGTAGTAAAATCATAGGGATTAACAGGTCTGCCTATGTATGGTGTGGAAGTTGTGTGTACTGTCTCAAGTATGGTATATTTACCACTGGTCGTAGGATCTGAGGTTTTCTTCTCTGGCTTTTGGGAGCACAGCTTTCCTGACTGGTCCCCATGCTCTGCTATCCGGATATCATCCAGGGACTTCCCTGCAATAGGCGACATGATCGGACCGCAGGTCAGCCGACGATGGTCTCTCAGCCTAGATCTAGGGCTGTCCCTCTCCTGCTTTAATGAAGATGACCGCAGGACCGGGCGCACAGAGAAGAAAGTTTCATCATCTCCTTCACCAAAGAAAAGCCTACCAGAAAAAATAGCATTTAAAAAAACACGCTTACATCAAAGTTCATGCGAATGGTGACAAGTTTCACATAAGAGCTGATAAAGCTGAGCCGAAGCTTCAAAGGTTTCACATAAGAGCTGATAAAGCTGAGCCGAAGCTTCAAAGGTTTCACATAAGAGCTGATAAAGCTGAGCCGAAGCTTCAAAGGTTTCACATAAGAGCTGATAAAGCTGAGCCGAAGCTTCAACGGAAAACATTATAATGTGAAAGCTCTCAGTGAAGTCTTTAAAAAAATACAAAAAACCACTAGAGCTGGAACCAGCAGTCACAGACATTGATAACTGTTTTCTTTGAATGCTGGTCACCTTCAAAATGGCAGATTAAAAAAAAAAAAAATTCTTTTATTTTTTGTTTTTATTTTGTTGCTAGGGGATTAAAGTTTTGTTCATGATTCATGACCTGTTTCAGGGGATCTCAAACATTATAGTTGGTACCCACAAATCAGTGGTGAACCAGGGGGAAATTATTAAACTATAGTGTTCGGGAGTGAGCAGTAAAATTAGTAATATGAATAGTTAAGATGCTCTGTTGGCACATCTAAAAAAAAAATAATATTTATAATCCATTTCATGAGCTCTAAAACCCAACAGCCCTCCCCCCCCCCCAACTGTTTTAAATACAAAAAAGGAGGCTAGTAGCCAGGAGATGAGGTAACATCTCCCAAATAAACACAAGTGATGACATCCCACATTGCAACAGTACACCTTTGCAACAGTATACCTTCGTCTCTCTTCTATAGTATAACTTTGTCTTCTACAGTATACCTTTGTCTCCTACAGTATACCTTTATCTCTCTTCTACAGTATACTTTGTCTCTCTTTTATATAATATCTTTGTCTATCTTCTATAGTATACCTTTGTCTCCTATAATATACCTTTATCTCTCTTCTTTAGTATACCTTTGTCTCTCTTCTATAGTATACCTTTGTCTGTCTTCTATCTCTTGTCTTGTCCTCATGACTGTGCCAGGTTCCAGTGGAATCTCTTCCTTCTCATACAGTGTCATGTGACTGGACTCAGGGTCTGCCAATGTGCACAACTCCATGCAGCTGTGAGACTGGGACAGCCCGATGCTCTGCTGAGGGTCAGACACTTTGTCAAGGAGGTTACGGTCGTCTACCAGCTCTGTTGAAGGCCCTGTGCCATGAAAAAAAAAAGTTTGAGGAGATCAAATGGTGTTCTTTGCCAACTCAACTTCAAACTCTAAATAAGACAAGCTAAAAATTAGGCACACATTGCTCCACATCACTAAATTAACGTATAAATACAATAAATATTAGTCTAACAATCATCTCCACTGAGTCAGGGATTGAGAAAGGTTTCCTCTTTAAATATACTTTTCTGTTTTTCCACAAAGCTCGAGAGATTCAATAAAAAAAACATACATTTAGATATGGACTTGATTAGTCTTGATGTGGGTATTTGAGTAATTTGTCAAATTTTTCCCGAAATAAAATTGTTAACATAAGCAATTTGTGTCTAAAATTAATTTTTTTTTTTAAACCTATTAGAACTTGCTCAAGAAGCTTATGAATGGGGTCTCAAGTACTGACAAAAACCTGGCCATGTAAGCCTACTATGGGGACATGGAGCTACAGCCCCTATGGGACAATCAACTTATCTTGTCTACATCATCAATCCCCCATGGGACAATCAACTTATCTTGTCTACATCATCAATCACCCATGGGACAATCAAATTATCTTGTCTACATCATCAATCCCCCATACGACAATCAACTTATCTTGTTTACATTATCAATCCCCCATGGGACAATCAACTTATCTTGTCTACAACATCAATCCCCCATGGGACAATCAACTTATCTTGTCTACATTATCAATCCCCAATAGGACAATCAACTTATCTTGTCTACAACATTAATCCCCCATGGGACAATCAACTTATCTTGTCTACATTATCAATCCCCCATGGGACAATCAACTTATCTTGTCTACATTATCAATCCCCCATGGGACAATCAACTTATCTTGTCTACATTATCAATCCCCCATGGGACAATCAATTTATCTTGTCTACATCATCAATCACCCATGGGACAATCAACTTATCTTGTTTACATTATCAATCCCCCATGGGACAATCAACTTATCTTGTTTACATTATCAATCCCCCATGGGACAATCAACTTATCTTGTCTACATCATCAATCCCCCATGGGACAATCAACTTATCTTGTCTACATCATCAATCACCCATGGGACAATCAACTTATCTTGTCTACAACATCAATCCCCCATGGGACAATCAATTTATCTTGTCTACAACATCAATCCCCCATGGGACAATCAATTTATCTTGTCTACATCATCAATCACCCATGGGACAATCAACTTATCTTGTCTACATCATCAATCCCCCATGGGACAATCAACTTATCTTGTCTACATCATCAATCCCCCATGGGACAATCAACTTATCTTGTTTACAACATCAATCTCCCATGGGACAATCAATTTATCTTGTCTACATCATCAATCCCCCATGGGACAATCAATTTATCTTGTCTACATCATCAATCCCCCATGGGACAATCAACTTATCTTGTTTACATCATCAATCCCCATGGGACAATCAATTTATCTTGTCTACATCATCAATCCCCCATGGGACAATCAACTTATCTTGTCTACATCATCAATCACCCATGGGACAATCAATTTATCTTGTCTACATCATCAATCCCCCATGGGACAATCAACTTATCTTGTTTACATCATCAATCCCCCATGGGACAATCAACTTATCTTGTTTACATCATCAATCCCCATGGGACAATCAATTTATCTTGTCTACATCATCAATCCCCCATGGGACAATCAATTTATCTTGTTTACATTATCAATCCCCCATGGGACAATCAACTTATCTTGTCTACATCATCAATCACCCATGGGACAATCAACTTATCTTGTCTACATTATCAATCCCCATGGGACAATCAATTTATCTTGTCTACATCATCAATCCCCCATGGGACAATCAACTTATCTTGTCTACAACATCAATCACCCATGGGACAATCAAATTATCTTGTCTACATCATCAATCCCCCATACGACAATCAACTTATCTTGTTTACATTATCAATCCCCCATGGGAAAATCAATTTATCTTGTCTACATCATCAATCCCCCATACGACAATCAACTTATCTTGTCTAAATTATCAATCCCCATGGGACAATCAATTTATCTTGTCTACAACATCAATCCCCCATGGGACAATCAACTTATCTTGTCTACAACATCAATCACCCATGGGACAATCAAATTATCTTGTCTACATCATCAATCCCCCATACGACAATCAACTTATCTTGTTTACATTATCAATCCCCCATGGGAAAATCAATTTATCTTGTCTACATCATCAATCCCCCATACGACAATCAACTTATCTTGTCTAAATTATCAATCCCCATGGGACAATCAATTTATCTTGTCTACAACATCAATCCCCCATGGGACAATCAACTCATCTTGTCTACATCATCAATCACCCATGGGACAATCAACTTATCTTGTTTACATTATCAATCCCCCATGGGACAATCAACTTATCTTGTTTACATTATCAATCCCCCATGGGACAATCAATTTATCTTGTCTACATCATCAATCCCCCATGGGACAATCAACTTATCTTGTCTACATCATCAATCACCCATGGGACAATCAACTTATCTTGTCTACATCATCAATCCCCCATGGGACAATCAACTTATCTTGTCTACATCATCAATCCCCCATGGGACAATCAATTTATCTTGTCTACATCATCAATCCCCCATGGGACAATCAACTTATCTTGTCTACATCATCAATCCCCCATGGGACAATCAATTTATCTTGTTTACATTATCAATCCCCCATGGGACAATCAATTTATCTTGTCTACATCATCAATCCCCCATGGGACAATCAACTTATCTTGTCTACATCATCAATCCCCCATGGGACAATCAACTTATCTTGTCTACATCATCAATCCCCCATGGGACAATCAACTTATCTTGTCTATATCATCAATCCCCCATACGACAATCAACTTATCTAGTCTACATTATCAATCCCCCATGGGACAATCAATTTATCTAGTCTACATTATCAATCCCCCATGGGACAATCAATTTATCTAGTCTACATCATCAATCCCTATGGGACAATCAACTTATCTAGTCTACATCATCAATCCCCCATGGGACAATCAATTTATCTTGTCTACATCATCAATCCCCCATGGGACAATCAATTTATCTAGTCTACATCATCAATCCCTATGGGACAATCAACTTATCTTGTCTACATCATCAATCCCTATGGGACAATCAACTTATCTTGTCTACAACATCAATCACCCATGGGACAATCAATTTATCTTGTCTACATCATCAATCCCCCATGGGACAATCAATTTATCTTGTTTACATTATCAATCCCCCATGGGACAATCAATTTATCTAGTCTACATCATCAATCCCTATGGGACAATCAACTTATCTTGTCTACATCATCAATCCCTATGGGACAATCAACTTATCTTGTCTACAACATCAATCACCCATGGGACAATCACATTATCTTGTCTACATCATCAATCCCCCATACGACATTCAACTTATCTTGTTTACATTATCAATCCCCCATGGGAAAATGAATTTATCTTGTCTACATTATCAATCCCCCATGGGACAATCAATTTATCTTGTCTACATCATCAATCCCCCATGGGACAATCAACTTATCTTGTCTACATCATCAATCCCCCATGGGACAATCAACTTATCTTGTCTACATCATCAATCCCCCATACGACAATAAAATTATCTTGTCTACATTATCAATCCCCATGGGACAATCAATTTATCTTGTCTACATTATCAATCCCCCATGGGACAATCAATTTATCTTGTCTACATCATCAATCCCCCATGGGACAATCAACTTATCTTGTCTACAACATCAATCACCCATGGGACAATCAACTTATCTTGTTTACATCATCAATCCCCCATGGGACAATCAACTTATCTTGTCTACATTATCAATCCCCCATACGACAATCAACTTATCTTGTCTACATCATCAATCCCCCATGGGACAATCAACTTATCTTGTCTACATCATCAATCACCCATGGGACAATCAACTTATCTTGTCTACATCATCAATCCCCCATGGGACAATCAACTTATCTTGTCTACATCATCAATCCCCCATGGGACAATCAACTTATCTTGTCTACATCATCAATCCCCCATGGGACAATCAATTTATCTTGTCTACATCATCAATCCCCCATGGGACAATCAACTTATCTTGTCTACATCATCAATCCCCCATGGGACAATCAACTTATCTTGTCTACATCATCAATCCCCCATACGACAATAAAATTATCTTGTCTACATTATCAATCCCCATGGGACAATCAATTTATCTTGTCTACATTATCAATCCCCCATGGGACAATCAATTTATCTTGTCTACATCATCAATCCCCCATGGGACAATCAACTTATCTTGTCTACAACATCAATCACCCATGGGACAATCAACTTATCTTGTTTACATCATCAATCCCCCATGGGACAATCAACTTATCTTGTCTACAACATCAATCCCCCATGGGACAATCAACTTATCTTGTTTACATCATCAATCACCCATGGGACAATCAATTTATCTTGTCTACATTATCAATCCCCCATGGGACAATCAACTTATCTTGTTTACATCATCAATCACCCATGGGACAATCAACTTATCTTGTCTACATCATCAATCCCCCATGGGACAATCAACTTATCTTGTCTACATCATCAATCCCCCATGGGACAATCAACTTATCTTGTCTACATCATCAATCCCCCATGGGACAATCAACTTATCTTGTCTACATCATCAATCCCCCATGGGACAATCAACTTATCTTGTTTACATCATCAATCACCCATGGGACAATCAACTTATCTTGTCTACATCATCAATCCCCCATGGGACAATCAACTTATCTTGTCTACATTATCAATCCCCCATGGGACAATCAACTTATCTTGTTTACATCATCAATCACCCATGGGACAATCAACTTATCTTGTCTACATTATCAATCCCCCATGGGACAATCAACTTATCTTGTCTACATCATCAATCACCCATGGGACAATCAACTTATCTTGTCTACAACATCAATCCCCCATGGGACAATCAACTTATCTTGTTTACATCATCAATCACCCATGGGACAATCAACTTATCTTGTTTACATCATCAATCACCCATGGGACAATCAACTTATCTTGTTTACATCATCAATCACCCATGGGACAATCAACTTATCTTGTCTACAACATCAATCCCCCATGGGACAATCAACTTATCTTGTCTACATCAATATAATCAATCCCACACGGGGCAATCATCGTATCTTGATATCACCTGGGTTACATTACTGAGTCATGTATCACAAGTCAAACAAGTAAATTTGCGAAAAATGATCCCCTAGCCTACAGATCTTATTCTTACCTTTGTAAGCAGGAATTTCTTGAAGAAAGTTTGGGTCTAATTCTTCTGAATCATTTCCCTGTAGCATTTGACCTGTCTTGTTGATGTCCTCCCTTAACTTTTTCACCTGACAATATAGAAGAACAAAAATTTTTTTTTAGTAACTTTGCTAAGTTAGGTAATCCCATAATTTTCAGCCGCCTCCCCCCCCACTTTTTTGTTGTTTCTGTGATATTTAAATATAGAATTGACATTTTGAAGGTATGGTTTAACGAAGATATTGGTAATATTAAACAAATTTTTTTTTTAAATTGCGTTGATAAAAATTTGATCCATTTTGTTAGTCGTTTTGACATCCCTAAGATTATCAAGATGATAAACAAAAGCTTAACTAAAATACTTTTAAATTTGGTTGAAATCCTATTTTACACAATGATGGGGTTACACTAATAGCTCAAAATAACAAACAAAAGCTTATACAATTATCAGATCTGCTTCTCAGAAGTGACTACAAGAGAGAAACAAGTTAAGCCGACGCCTCACCTTTCCAGGCAGCCATGGGATTTTTTCCCTAAGAAAATACTGACGCACCCCCAGTTCAATTTTACTGAAGGGTATTTTAGCTTGTTTTGGAGTGTCTGACTTGAGCTCCTCGGTTGATTTTTGTGCTACCAGTTCACTCGTCCCCATGCATTTCTCTTGTGGTTCCACTGCACCTTCTGGGCTGTGTGGTTCACTGGCTGGTTTGTGTTGCAGGTGGCCAACTGGTTTAGGTGAGTGGACTTCATTTTGTACTGACGACTGGCCCGTAATTTTATGAGGTGCTGTGTCATGAAGACTTGAGCTGGGGAAGGCAGAGAATGCCCCTGGGTAAGCGTGCGGTTGGTACACATTAGAGTCAACAACTATCAGAGGAACTCTAGCGATGGGTTCGTCATGGGGCGTGACGTGGTCGGATTTAGCGGTGCTGTCGCAGACGTCTTCCCAGGCAGAGATATTAGTCTGGCTGGTTTTAGCAAAAGTAGGGGTGGTAGCTGTTGTTGAAGTAGTTAAAATGCTCCCCGAAATCCTCGACTCCGAGGGCGTAGATGTCAGCGAGGGAGTAGATGTCAGTGATGGGGTGGACGTTAGCGAGGGTGTAGACATCAGATCACTTTGACCTGCTGGTTCTAGCAGGGTGGCACCTGGAAGGAAATAATTCTCCCCTGTATTTGAGCCGACTGTAGGATTAGCATCCATTAAAATTGCTGTGCTGTCCATCTGATGTTCTGAATGAAGGGTGTCATCCTCTCTATCACTGAGCATATCCACAGAATCCAGTTTTATCCACGAACTATCTGGCTTTATTCTAGATCCAAGAGACCCAGAATTTGCAGACAGCTGGTGCGACGCCAACATTCTGTCTGTGGCGCTTAGCGGAAACTGAGACGAGGATAGGTCACTCTCCATCATTTCAACATCCGGTGACCTCAGCTCTGAGCCTGTCCTTGAATCTGAGGTTACAACACTGACAGGGGTGTGCACTGCCGCGGGGCCTGACGGAAATTCTGTGGGGACTTCTAAAGGCGGTGGGGTGGGTACGTCAGGCGGAATGTCCTCGACCGAATCGGCACTTCTTGACTCGGCCGTCTCCAAGTCTGTGTCCATGTGCATCATATCCAGACCTGGGGCAATCTCTGTGGATGTAAACATAGATAGATTTAAGATCAAGCATTACAGATCCGTTCATGAAAACAAAGGTTAGTTCAGTGGTTCTCAACCTTCCTAATGCCGCGACCCTTTAATACAAGTTTCCATTGTTGTGGCGACCCCCCAAACACAAAATTATTTTCGTTGCCACGTCATAACTGTACAGTATTTGTGTTTTCTGATGGTCTTAGGCGACCACTGGGAAAGGGTCGTGTGACCCCCAAAGAGGTCGCGACCCACAGCTTGAGAACCGCTGGGTTATTTGATCCAATGTACCAACCCATGGATAGACCATAGAGATGGTTATTATGGATAAGGGTTTTTTGGATGAAGGAAGATAAATTTTTGCATCAACACATCCAATTTTATTTCATGCTGGTGGATTCTTGTCTTGCTTTTAGATTTTTTTTAATGGAGATTTTCTTCATCATTATCATTTATTTGAATAGGTTAAAGAATGTGTTTGTTTGTTGAAGTTTCAGAAGGCTTTTTGAAAAACTTTCATTACCTTCATCTAACCTTAGTCAAGCTTTCCCCTACCCCAATAAATGGTGTTTCTTATCCTTGAAATTTATCAGCACAATACCTGTTTGTAAAGACCTGAGCCACTCTTCCTTATGAGCCGCACCCCCAGAGGCCATTGGCCAATCAGAGTGCGACATCATAGTGAAGAGGCTGTCCCCTAAAAAAGAGCCCTGTGAGTGTTCCACGTTTTCTACTGGGCCCTCATCAAGCAGATTCTGGTCTGACTTGCTGCGGAATATGTCTCGCTTGTTGCTGCAACGCAGTGTAAAAAAAAAATAATTAAATTACGTATTAGAGCAAATACTATGAATCAATACAAAATAATCACTCAGTAATGAATTTAACACAAAAAAATTGGAAAAATTTCAATAATTGAATTTTAAAAAATGAAACTGCAAAAATCATTGTTTAAATATGTACTTACAGTACTAAAGGGGAATAAGTGCTTTTTACTTAATGAGCATGTGACATATAAATGGATTAGTGAACTAGCTTAGAGATCCTGGAATATCTCTGCAGCTTTGATGGACTTGCCTATTCTAATACAATTAAGTTTTTTTAAAAATAGCTTTGCCTGCTCTGTTAAACTTTTTTCACCTTTTAACAGTTGGTGACTAAGGATCACCACTTTGAGAGCCACTGGTGGAAAGTTTTCGGCTATCTCATAGGTTATTACTTTGTTTTTTGTTTTTTTTGCAAGGGACTAAACCCACACTTGCAGGAAGACAGATCTTATTAAAAATAGTACATGGATAATCATAACTCTGTGCTACCTCTAGTAAGGCATAGGTCACAGTTTCTTTCTCTCTTTTTGAGTTGGGACCCCATTTAATAGAAGCAAAGTGACACCACCCCCCCCCCCCCCCCCCAGTACCTTGCAGTCAATATTCCCTGGTAGGTGTGCAACTGCCCCAAGAAACCAGAATTAGGGTGCACACAGCCACGGCGCTCTTTTACAAAGTTGTAGGCCTCATCCACGGTCCAGCGCTTCTCTTTCATTAAATAGGCCATCACCTGCAAAAAATGGCATGCACACTTTAAAAAAAGCATTTTAAAAAATAGACCAAAGGTAAAGTACTGAATTTTAATTGTCCACTTGAAAATAATATTGCAGCCAATGATGAGACAGCAACATATGAAGGAGACAGCAACACTTGAAAGAGACAGCAACAATTTGAAAGAGACAACAACACTTGAAAGAGACAACAACACTTGAAAGAGACAGCAACACTTGACTTACAGTTGAAGCAGAGCGGCTGACGCCCATCTTACAGTGGACAAGAACTTTTGAGTTGTGATTTCTGAAAAGAGAAGGAAAAAAAAATATTAAAAAAATTAAAGAGCACAACTTTTATCAACTTTCCTGACAGTGGTCAAAACTGTATTAATGTAAACCTCATAGACCAGGACAGAACAGCAACAGCAATATCCACTATTTATAACCCTGGATAGCAAATCTGGTGTAGCACATTTTGGTTGAGATCCTATTTTTCTGTGTTGCTAGTGAGTCAACTCGTGGTAACGTCGCTCACTCTAGAGCATTATAACATATCATTTTTTTTGTTCACAAATGTAACCTGTAACGGACTATGTTTTCACATGTAAACAGAGAGGTAGCATGAGTGGACAGTGAGTGTGTTCACCAGGTTTTTCCACGGGGAGAGACAATCAATGTGGATTGTATTTTTGAGAACAAATGTGAACTTTGAGTGGACAGTGAGTGTGTTCACCAGGTTTTTCCACGGGGAGAGACAATCAATGTGGATTGTATTTTTGAGAACAAATGTGAACTCCACGTTTTTGGAGAGTAAAATTATGTTTTGTCAGAGCGGTCGTTTTGCACGCTTTGCTGGTAATGAAGTATGAGTTGACTGAGATAAGGAGAGCTGAGCGCAGAGCAGTAGAGTCAGTCAGTAGCGTGAGAGCTGTGTGATTAGACAGTTGACAGTTTAGTGTGAGGACGTGTCTTTCTTAATGATGGAATACTATAGATATATATGTGAAATTACATTCATGCAAGGATTATTTATTATTATTATCAATATAAAGTGTGTTCAATAAAGTACTGTAAGTTTAACCAGGATTCAGTATTCTTATTTGCGTGCCCGGATTATAAGTGGAAGAATGAAGAAGCCTTAGTCGGCATCCTGAAATATAAACATAACATAAGTAACCATACTACTGACATAACCCACAGCATAAGAAATAAGCTCCCACGCCATGTCAGAGTAGGGGTGTTACATAACCCTAATAGTTTCTTATCACAAATTTAACCTATTATTAGCATTGCTAATCAACAGCCAGTTTGTAAATAGGTCAACTGCCTCAATTGCAACCATTTAAAAATAAAGTACACTACTCAATTCACCCAATTCTTTTAACATGTTGTCGTCTTTGATTTAATACTTGTAAACCATATACAAGCTGACCTGCATGCTATCAGCAGCTCACCTGGCTTTAGCAATAAACTTGTAGGTTTTGTCCCAGTGTTTCAACAGGTCGGCCTCTTCCACATCCTGCACCCGAACATTGTAATACTGAAACATTCCTACAAAGAAGTTGTCAATCTCCTTTGTCACATTTAGGATATAGTTGATCCTGAAGAAGCGTGAAGATAGAATTTTAGCATACTTAACTAATTTATTTAAAAATTAAAAAAAAAAATTGGATAAGTAAACTATGCATCAACATTTGCATTTGACAAAATTTTACATTTATCTAAGGCAGCGGTTCTCAACCTGTGGGTCGCGGGACCCTTTTCCAGGGGTCGCCTAAGACCATCTTAAAACATATCCTTGCAGCTATGAAGAAGCAACGGAAATAATTGTGTAGCTGGGGGTCGCCACGACACGAGAAACTGTATTAAAGGGTCGCGGCACTAAAAAGGTTGAGAGCCACTGATCTAAGGGTACATGCATTTGTGTGTGGTTTGTTTACATAAAAATATATAGAACTCAAAGAATATTTTCAGTTTGGTACGCCTTGAATCATTCACAGACACCTGACTCCAGCTGACAAAATTTTTCTTACATTTATCTGCCCTAAATGAAGTTAAATATTCATTATTATTTAATTTTTTTTTTTGATAACCCCCTTCATAGAAGTATTTCCTATATATATATTCTACTAATTCCCCATCATTACTATTCAAAATCATTTTTTGTAACATTTGTTTTTAAAATTTATTGACTCTCCTTCATCCTTTTATTACACACTACCAGCAACATTCCCTTTTATTATTAAGCTGTACATAACATTTCCCTTCAAATTTAAGCTGCACACTATAATATCCTTTATTATTAAGCTTCACACTACATTATCCTTTATTACTAGGATGCACACTACACTACCCTTTATCATTAAGCTGTACACTACATTAGCCTTTATTATTAAGCTGTACACTACATTACCCTTTATTATTAAGCTTCACACTACATTACCCTTTATTATTAAGCTTCACACTACATTATCCTTTATTACTAGGATGCACACTACACTACCCTTTATTATTAAGCTTCACACTACATTACCCTTTATTATTAAGCTTCACACTACATTATCCTTTATTACTAGGATGCACACTACATTACCCTTTATTATTAAGCTTCACACTACATTACCCTTTATTATTAAGCTTCACACTACATTATCCTTTATTACTAGGATGCACACTACACTACCCTTTATCATTAAGCTGTACACTACATTACCCTTTATTATTAAGCTGTACACTACATTACCCTTTATTATTAAGCTGTACACTACATTACCCTTTATTATTAAGCTGTACACTACATTACCCTTTATTATTAAGCTGTACACTACATTACCCTTTATTATTAAGCTGTACACTACATTACCCTTTATTATTAAGCTGTACACTACATTACCCTTTATTATTAAGCTGTACACTACATTACCCTTTATTATTAAGCTGTACACTACACTACCCTTTATTATTAAGCTGTACACTACATTACCCTTTATTATTAAGCTGTACACTACATTACCCTTTATTATTAAGCTGTACACTACATTACCCTTTATTATTAAGCTGTACACTACATTACCCTTTATTATTAAGCTGTACACTACATTACCCTTTATTATTAAGCTGTACACTACACTACCCTTTATTATTAAGCTGTACACTACATTACCCTTTATTATTAAGCTCCTCTAAGTTTGATGCGTTCCATTCTGAGCCAAGATATAAATAGTCCAAAATCTCCGAGGGTGCATCCATCTGTCCCAGGATTCTCATGACTTCCTCGTCAAAGTAGCCCTTGAAAGCCGTCAGTGACATGTTCAAGCCTTCTTCCACTTTCTTCCTCAGCTAAAACACAGCACGGTCGTGCAAAAAAAGTGACATTAAACACTATGCTTTCAATTCATTGACAGCCAATCGAAAACAAAAGTCAGTCCTTGCGCCTCCAGTAAAACTAATGCTGTAGGAGCCATTTCATCATTGATATATCTTTAGAATATTTAATTAGGGTTAACCCACATGAATTCTGTGACGCCGTTTTCAAACAGGAAAATTGACTTTAAAACTAATCATTGACACAAGACCAAACTTGTCAAGAAAGTATGTGTAAAGAGTTATTAAATATGTAAACATTATTAAAAAGTTTTTTTAAAAAAACTAGTGGTAAATATTAATACTTGGCGACTACTTTTTATAACACAATCACTTGATTGTTTTACCATGATTGAAGTGGCCTCGTCCAAATCCACCGTCATCATGACCTCCTTCAACTTCTGACTGATGGCAATTTTGATTTTCATGAGTTCATTTTCACTGAAAATTGGTTTAAGAAAATTATTACAAAGTTAAAAACACTATGTTTGGTTTGTGTTTTTTACCCATGAAAAGCTGATGAATAAAAATCACAGATAAGGAAAATATCTTAAGATGTTCATTCATTCAAATAATGGACATTCCACATCATCATTGATTTCAAACACTTTATCATCGTCTCACGAGACGGAAGGATGCCGATCAGATTGGGTGTTATTAGTCCTTCTTATTAGAAAAAACAAATATCACAAACCAAATGGGATATGTGGTAATAATTGTCAGTAAAATAAAAATTTGTCATCCATATTTTTAAAAAAAATTTTATTTAGACAAACAAAATAGAAGTACCAAAAAAAAAAAAAAAATTAAAATAAAATTCTTAGTGCACATTTTTGACATAACAAAGTGAACAAAATGTAGATGAACAGATAAACAAACGGACGAATCTTGACCAGCCACAATAATTAGGAGAATAAAATGAAACAATAAAACTCACTCATCTGATTTGATTGAAAGGCTGGATGGTGCAAACACTTCCACTCCCTCCACATTCCTGAAACGTAATGGAAAAATTTAAAAATTAGTTCATGGCCCAGATTCTGTGAATAGGAAAAAAAACATCAAAATGGGAAAAAAATCCAGGAATTTTTGGAATTTCTATTCTCTCGATAATTCAGAAATGAAACCAACCAGAAAGGTTATAATTAAATTTATCATTACACTGATAATATATTAAAGTAAAATATAATAAAAATTATTATTACCAAGAAATAATTTATTTAGCTTCCTATTTACAAAAGTTATCTGAATTGCTCACCATTGACTTGCTCTGGAATCTCTTCTGTCAATACGTGACTTGTAGTAGCCCACCCACGTATGGGTCAGACCATCATGTATGTACTTCATATCCTCAGCTACATGCATCACCTTGAACAAACTCTGAATGGCGGACCTTGGATGGTGTTTTAAACAAATGTATCAATGTATCAAATCTAGCTACTAGATGCTTTTAGATGACACATTTTAAGAGGATAACAAAAGGAAGTTTAAAAAATTCCCAATTGCAGAAGTTGAAGAGCAATGACTTGCCCAGAGATTAAAAATTACCCACCATTACAGGCAAATAAAGAGTTAATTTTCAAAATATTTGTTAAATTTAGTTTAACTTACAGTCACAATTGTGGGAAAAAAATGGAAGTTCCAGGTAATAAGAAAATAGACTTCCTTTTCCCTCCCCCCCCCCCCCCCCACTTGTGTCTAAAAAAAACAACAAAAACAACACAACATAGATAGGGGATAGTGGGATAATGTGCCAAAGAAAGGGAGACTACTGCTTCCCGCTAGCTCTCCTTCAAGATGTGTATCCACACAACACTGTACAGAACTCACTAACAGAAAGCTTACCACATAGCTTGAACTGAGACAGGCTTAAACAAATAATGCTGCTCATCTGTGCACAGGCTGAAGCCTCTGGAAATAATCAATCAAGTAATATGTAATAAGATGGTCTTTTCTCAAACAGAGTGACTGATGCAGCATATCATATTTATTATGATATAGAAACTAAGAGTAAGAAAACATTTACAGGGGTAGAATCAGAGTGAGTGAGTGGGGCAAGGTGGAGAGGGTAGTGGTAAAAATAGTGATGTACCTTAAAAATTAAAAATAAATTGTATGGAATATTCATTTTAATAAAGTAATAATCTGTAATTTATCAAAGAATTTGTTTATGCAATAGAAACCAATCCAAAATTATATTAATGTAATCATGTACCCCAATTTTGAATGTCAAATTAAATTTGTTGACTTTGTTGCCCGAGTGCTTTAAGTATAATTGCATGAAGCCTTTGAGTTTTAGACCAGTGCTTTAATGAGCACATTTAAAAATATTTAAATGGGGTATATTTACCCATCTCCTCCGAGTTTTATTTTGAGCCCCATCCAGACAGGCAGCACCAGACCAATGGAAGCATCAGTTGCAGTACAGTCGATCCCAAGGATAACTGCCTCCTCTGTGTCCTGGCGACCTCGGGTGGAAACAAGTGCCATGTACCGGTTTAAGTTAAAGGCATCCTCCAGTCTGACAGCCTGCATGGAGAGTAAACTTTATTAAGGAGAAGGGATGGGCAAAAATCAGGGGAGGCGGCCTTTAATCATTTGCTCTCAACCCACTTTTCATTAAAAAGTAAAAGAAAAATGTAACATTTAAACTTATTTAAATCTTGGTGAAGCAGGTACCCACAGGTGTCAATTAATTGAGTAAGCTGGAGCTACAGGATTAAAAAGTTGGAGTCATAACTGTTAACACTTTTTGAAGAAAATAAAAATATTAAATCTTCTGAGGCATGAGCTGTAAATAATATTTTCTTTCTCTGTTAAAAACAAGGTAAAAAAAGTTCCAAAAATATTAAAAGTGTTGACACTCTATTTTTATCCACATGGCACAAATTTCCTTATTTCAGAGTCTGTTTTTCTCTCCTTCCAAATAGTTGAATCTAAATTGTACATTGATCATTATAAAGGTTTCTTACAATTTTAATGGTGTCCTCTGGTCTCAATAGGTGTAACATGGCCTGGAGATGGCTCTGTATCTCTCCTGGTAAAGCAGACCAGCATGAATTTTTTAAAAATGTAAAAATATAGATACAATTTCTGTTTTACAGCAAAATGTTAAATTAGGCTTAACAGGCTGATGGAATGAAATTAACCAAATAAACATACCAGGATGTATTTTTTTTAAAGCAAAATGTTAAATTAGCCTTAACAGGCTGATGGAATGAAATTAACCAAATAAACATACCACCTGTAAAAATATTTTTTAACAAAAAAAATTGTGCCACTGCTTGATCCTATCACAGCATAGTCACGTTTAGGACTTGATGCTAAGTAAAATAAATTGTTTATGATAATGAGATTACCTCCATGACTTTTCTTAGTTGTTTTCTTGGTGCACTCATTGTGGGGGAGGATGAGTGCTGCCCCCTTCACAGTGAAGTAACTCTCACTTAAGCTGAAAACAATGTAAATTTGACATCTTTAGACAAGTTTAATGAGAATTTTGCAACAAAAAAAAAATGGGATTCATTTAATAATAAATGGCAGACAAAAAATATATACCATTTATTTCTGAAACTGATTATTGTTACATACAAGTCAATTTCTTACAAACATTATTTAATATATGTAAATATATATATATATATGTGCATAAATATAAAATCTTAAATTCTTTTTTTTTTATTAGAATAGTTTAATACATAAACTTTTATTTTATATTCAACAATTATTATAACAAAACTCTATTTTTATTGAAAAAATATGAAAGAGACTTTAGGATACCATTACTTAGATTACTGAAGGTACAACTTTTTAAAAAATCATTAATTTGCTAGTAAGTTGCTTTTTTAACAGTCATTTGCCATTCAAATAAAGCCACAGTATATCCCAAACTCAAATAGAAGTTTTCTTAACTACAATCCACAACACTATAAAAAGGACAGTTAGTATTTCCACTTCAAGAAAAGTATTTTGCCAGAGGTTAACAAAAATAATCATAAACCAATTTGTAAACGTGCTGTAGCTGTAATATCAAACAGAATGAGTTGTGGCATGTAGGGTGCCGAACCAGATTTCAAAACCCAGCAGCAGACGGCATTAATGATTAACATTGCCAGATAGGTCTACAGATCAATGCTGGCTGCTACAGTTTAGCAAAGGCTGGAAGAAATTGTACGAGATAGTAATAAGAAATCAATAAGATTACACATCTTTGATAGCTTTTGTGTATTGTCATATAGTCCACCAACATTTTTCAATTATAATTTAAATGTGATGATACCACATGAAAGAAAAGACACAGTTATTAACAATGACAACAAACTATTTATACCTTTTAAAAAAATAATTAAGTCATTATCTGTTAAATAAGCATACTGTAAATAAAATTCTAAGCCAAGAAGATTTTTAGATGTCCTGAAGTTAAAAGATGCCTGAAAACTTGTGTGCGTATGTATATCTAACTGAGCTTTAAAAAAAAAAAAAATCCTTCCTTAAAATAAATATAAGGGATCATAGCAAATAATAGCATGCAAAGAACGTAATATGGCTTATATGCATCCAGCTTACATGTGAAATGTGATGTTTATAAGCAGCTAAAGGCAAAGCAGTTGGGACAGCTTATATGTAAGGAATAAACAAAACAAATTATAAGTAAACATATCATAACAGCTTTTTAAAAAAAATAAATATACCCTTAAACTTCACCAAAGGCCAAGTAAAACAGGAATTTTAAAAAAAGCTGAAATATTATCTAAATTAGTACAACTAATAAATATTTTTATTAAAAAACATTTAATTATTCTGCACTGTTAGGAAGATGAAAATTGTAATGAGATTAATTTATGTTATGATCTTTTGTATGTGAACGAAAGTTAACTACTAAAAAAATAACTATACAGATTTAAAGCTTCAGTAATTAACATTAATATATTTTACAGTAGTTACTCTCAGAAGAAAGCAATTGATGGAATTAGAGAGAATACAGAATTTATATTAAATTATGTATGCTTATAACTTTAAAAAAAAATTGTTGCTATAAAACTTATTATAAACTGAACAAACCTTTAATTCAATGTATATTTTAATTGAAACCTATTTAATGATCCAACCAATCTGAGCCTACAGTTATATTTAGTAGTCACTTGTAAATCATTTTTAGCATTGACTATATACCGTACTTCATTATTTTTTTTCTGTATTATGGTGATAATTTAGCATTGAATAATATAAAACAGGAAAATGAAATTTTTTGAATGCAAGTTTGCACTGAAATCCATGCAAGGAAGTTTGCACTGAAATCCATCGACCAGATGATAATTACTCCCCAAACAATACAGTAATTATCTATACCCCTACAGCTTATGAACTTAAATCTTCCATAAATACTTTTTGGTTAAAAATGAAACAAATAAAAATAATATATAAAAATAATAAAACAAAAAGAGATAATTGTATGCCATTTTTTTTGTTTTCTGCAACGTTTCTTGAGGCTAACAGTTAAGCAGGAAAAGAACAAGAGTTGACCACAGAATGGAGGAGCTCTAACCTTAAAAACTAGGCCTTCACATGTAATTAATATTAGACCTATAACATGTTAGAATGAAATATTTTCAATATATTTTTTTGTTGTTGAAATTTTAATGTGATCAAATATTGTGCCAAAATAAATCACTGTTGCTTATAATCTATTCTCATCATTGTAGATTTAAGTATATTTTCAGCAGAATAGCTCCAAGGCCACTTCAGAGAATATGCAGAATATAATATTGTAATTTTATACTTAGTGATGAAAAAAGAATGTCACCTTTATTTAGTGGAAACCCATTTGTGATAGAACTAGTATGTGATTATTTATAAAGTAAATATTTAAAAAAAAATAAACCTACCATTTTCATACTTTTGGTGAACAAATGAGATAAGAACCAAATTGGGTGTGATGTTAAACAAAAGCCCCCACTTAAGCTGGATCAACATTAAAATGTCTCTATTGTAAACTTGGCCATTCCATAATATTATTAAGAACATAATATACAGCTCATTCCATGCTTGTTCAAATCTGTGTTAGGAAAAAGAAAGTTATAAATGTTGAGGTGGGTACATGTGGAGCTTCAAGACTCCCCAGAATGCTCAGATGGGTTAAGTTTAGCCAAGATGCATGTGTGTGTGTGTATGTGAAGGTAATCCACAGCTCACCAGGGCCTAAGCTTTGAGATAAAGCGCACAGTGCTGAATATTTTTCTCAGCTTTTCCTTAGGCGTCTTTGATCTGAAAGCAAGTGTTGAACAAAGCAGATGAAGGTGCTGAGATTATATCAATGCTAAATCAGTCTAGGGCAGTGGCACAAAACATTTTTTTTTACTCATTTACAGTGGGAGTTTGGGGAGATTAACGCATGTGCAAATTTTAATAATTTTTTGGATGATATGTGTATATACACTCCCAGATTGGTAGCCACTAGTCTAGGACTATATGGGCTAAATCATTGTTGTTTAAAAAGTTAGTTTCCCTTATTTCTGTTCTGACTTCCATTTGTTGTCACTAAAAGTTATAAGATATATTTATGTCTCATGAAATGTTTTATTGATATATTTTCTTTAATATTTATCCAAAATTTATTTAACAACAAAAATAATCTCCCATGTTAACGAATAAACAATAATGAGATCCCACAAATGAATCTTCTATATTAGCATTTTAAAACATTTTTCTCCTCACAAATCAAAGGATTACAAAATACCCTTTATTCTGACAGTCCATTGGAGTATTTATGTGGCGCATATCCTTACTAAATTTTCTTTTAGCGCAACCCTCACCCCTTCCAAGAACAACATAGAGTGTAATTCGAATTGAAAAACACTGAACTACAGGGATATTATAAACTACCAATTATCACCATATTGTGTTCACAAGATGATTATTGAATTCTAGGTATATGAATTATAAACATATAAATGAAAATGCCTGCATTCTTTGTTATAAACATTGGGTAAAAATGTTTGTCCCATGAGCAAAATATATCTTCACATTTGACATCTGTCAGGTTTTCAAGGCTTATAATGCATTCCACTTAAATACTTTTTTCATAATATAAATTCTGGAACTATGAGAAAACATAATTTTGTATGTGTTAGCTAGTGAAGAAAAGGCCTCAGCAAAGACAACATAAGAAATCTCATTAACCATGTACAGAAAAAAGAAAGACAACAGCAACCGTCAAACTTTTTAAAAACATGGATATTGGTTGTCGTTTAACTATTTTCATATTACTGTACCCATATTATGATAAGCTGCAGGAAGCTAATGAGGCTTAAAGCTGCACCAGAAAGACACAAAAAATTATTGATAAGGGAGACTTGGAGATCAGGAGCTTTGAACACACATTTGCTGTCAAAAAAAAAATGTGGTCAAATGTTTAAGTTAACAATTGAAGTAACATAATTAATTCCCTTTACAAATTAATTCCCTTTACAGTTTCAAAGCTGAGACCATAATTTGGAAATACCTACTAACTATAAAACAGTCATTATTATAAAAAAAAAAACTAACTTAATTTAGTTGATTAGTATTTAGTATTAAAAGATACAGTGAGAGGTTAAAGTAAAACATGAAGGAATCATTTGGGTATTTTAATTCATCTTGCATTATTTTGTAAAAAAACTAATTATATGAGAACATTTGTGTACTGTTTTAAAAAAAAAATCAATATAAAAATAATGTTATCAAGTTAAAATGTTAATTAGAATTTTAAAACCTTATTCTCTTTCTGAAAAGAAATTTGAAAGATAAAAATAGAACTGGATTCTGTTATGTGCTGATCCAATAGTAGTAATTCATTTAACTGTGAAAATTATAAATGTGCTACCTAAGATTTATCCATGAAAACATGCGAATAAAAATGGTTTTGAGCAAAGCCCCAATATGGAAAAAATAAACAACTAAGATTAAAATACAGTTTTACAATAAATCTTCAAAGCATTACTTAAAAGAAATTGTCATGCCTCAAGGAGTTAAATACATTTTTCCGCTGAAGAATTTCATAACTTTGTACACTAGATAAATAAATTAATTTAATGTCACTTGCTGAAATACATTATTAAAAAAATTATCATTTCATTCTTAATTATCTGAGGAAACTAACATAAGGTACCCACTGTTCATTTCTACTTTGTTTCATTAAAAATAATTTTTGTTCCGACAAGGGATTTCAAATGAAATAACCACAAATTAATTTTTTTAAAAAACTTTAGTGAATGTATCTTTTTTTAAGAAACACAAAGAGGGTTTAGTAAATAAAAGCTGAAAAATAACAAAACAAAAAAACAAATGTTAAAAAAATTATATCCAAAGCAGGACACTACTTGCAGTTGACATAACCATGAACGAGAAGAAATAAAACCACTATGAAAGCTGACTATTGAAGTGGTAGGAAAAATGATAAAGAGAGTTTTCATCTACCTATAGACAAAATCTGGACAACAGCTCGGTACTAGCTGATGCATTAGATGTTTCTATATTAGAATTATACAAAAATTAATTATATTTTGAAGCGGTCTAATTTAATTGATAGTTGGGTCTTACACCTGCAGCCCTCTATGTGGTTGAAAATGATAAATTGATAATATATTGGGTTTATTCTATTTTTAACAGAATTTAATATTCTTTAACATGGCCATTTATTAAATTTGCCTTTAAATATAGCTTTTTTTTAAAAAAAAAAAAAAAAAATTATTTGCACTAATCCAATTAAATAGTCTACAAAATATTCTGTTTTTCCCAGTTTAAAATCTGAAAAAACTTTTAACTTTTTGAAGGTCACTTTTTAAATACTTGGTCTAGGAAAGCTTAAAAAAAATAACTAAAAACAAAATATATTTTTCATCATTCATTGAAGGTGTAGCTTCTTTCTATGTAGTAACTTCGAAAGTATTATTTTTGTTGACACATTGTAGTTTGGGACCAAGAGTCTTAAGTCTGGGAGAAGAAGGGGCGAGTGAGTATCTTACTCAATTTTTTGTAACCCTATTGAGGTTTGAACAAAAAGAGATACTTTTGAAATCATAACTTTTTTTATAGGCAAGGACTATAGTGACACTTTTCAGTAATACCTCTACAACTTAAGTGCATTCTACACTTAAGTAGATATATAAAGTAATAAAGAAATTCCAGGCAATAATTAACTGAAATACTGGCATTGTGTAAAAAATAATAAGAGAACCAACAAGATATAAAAACTACTTTAATACACCTAAATTTCCATTTAAAATTTATTCACACAATTCAGAATCAGTGGCATAAATAATTAACATTTGAAAACAGATAAAATTATACCAAGTCAAAATATAAATAAGAAATGAAAGCTTAAAAAAAAAAAATGACAAAACTTTATTGCTATTTTGAATGGAGAATATATAATTAGATCTATACCTTTTCCGTAACTGAGACCTGCCTTCACTGACATCTTCTGTACTGTCAACTCCATCCTAAAGTCAAAAACAAAATGCAGATCTATTTATAGTAAATAATTTAGACAATCTTAAACCAAAAAGAAAATACATAAAAACTAAGTGAAATTAACTTTCTAAAATAAAATTAATGTTTAATTGAAATCAACTAAATGTAAATGACTTAAAAAGCACGGCTAATGATTTTTCTCAATTAGGCCTATATTTTTTATTTTAGTATTAGGCCTACTCATAGACATTAACCTAAAAACAATTATACCCGACAAATGTAATGCAGGCTTATTATTGTGATAAATAGTAAGCCTATAGGAGACTAGGTTAATTGATCTACTATGAGCAGGGGACGGCAAACATTTTTAGCTATTACTCAAAAATATATTTGTTTACACTGATGTTAACCCCATGGTTTAAAAGAGAAAATATAGAAAATAGAAATAGTTGGATAGGCTAGGCCGAGCCACTACTAATAAGACAGAGCACAACTTGATGGGTGTTTTCCCTATCACAGATGAGAGATGTAGTGTTGCCATAAAACCCATTTCTGTCATTACAAAGGATGCGCTTTTAATTAATTGTTTTAATGTCTAATGAGCTATTTTTATTTTTACTGCACAAGTGACTATGACCGGGCTGGGGGCAATTTACCCCAGTTTGCCAACACCAGAACTAGAGTAGGCTCTTTGTTACAAAATTACATAATAGTAATAGTGAGTCAAAGTCTTTAACACTCTAGGCTCTACGAGAATTTAAATGCTTACCGCTTACCCCACTTTTACTAAGTTCTAAATTAAGCGTTGATTCAAGGCCTAGGGTAATACTTTAATTCAATCATCGTCAAGTATCAACAAAAAAGACATGATATGATCATGATAAAGAAGTAGAACCTACTTAAAATTAAGTAGACTACACTAATGAGAGTCATTCTTAAAATTTTTCACAATTACTATTAGACTTCAAATAAAAAAGTAGGCTAAATAGAGCAAAGTTAAACTCTGATTTAGGCCTAAAACATGACAATATATAAAAAAAAGTTAAGAATTAATAGTGAAAATGGCATTTTTGTTAAATTATATGGTTAGTCAGCAACAGATTTATTTAAATTTTAGTATCTATCAGATCTATCACTATCATCATTAAATCATATTTCTATGTCTATGTGAAGTATGTAAGTGTAAGTATGTCCTATGAGAGACAGGAGTAAATTACCAAATCAGGATCAGTGCTTGGGCTCGGGGAACGTTGTATTGTAACTAAAGCCATAATAAATTAGGTTACAATTAAGAATCAAGGTGGCATTCTATGTATATGATCCATTGTTATGTAGATAAAATAAACAAAAAGAACGAATTCAAAACAGGAAGTCGTCCCTTTTGATTTCTATTACGGAAATGATTTTGTAATATTTGTTTCCCTTTATTTAGGAAATAAGAATACGCATGTCAAAAAAATCTTGTTTCCTCCTAGCAACGAAATATGGCGTCCTTGTAATGTAAATATACTTCCAAAAATCTACATGCGTTGGAGAAATAAAGAAAATTTTCTTATAGAGCACCATTATTTTTGGCTCAAATTATAAGCAAACAGGTAGTACACTGCATTATCTGGACTACCAATTATTGGGCCATTATCATTATGTCTTAATATTCTGTAGTTCATTTACTTTTGATTTAAATGAGATTGAAGTTAATAGTTATTAAATCTCAGACTTAGACTGACTTTAGTTCAGTTGTTTTTGTTGAATTTGAAGGCTTAATGAATCATAATTATAATCACTTTAAAACTTTAAATTAATTATTACTATGAATTAAACCTAATTCATAAATTCACCCCACTAAATCAATTTTAGACCTATATTATGGCTTATGATATAATATAATAGAACTGGCCTCAGGAATTAAGTTATATAGTTATATGAATAGTTATACTGATAGGTTGTTAACTTTGCTGAGAAAGTACTTGCTGTGACCATGACCTATGACTAAACTAACAGTGTTAAAAGATGGCAGACAGTCTTTTTGTCACAGAATCTGGTCAGCTTCCCTGCATCTATTTTCAGTGGACTTAAACTTAATTTATCAAATGTATATTTAAAATAATTAAACATTTACTAATTACTTTAACTTCCAAAAAAGGCTAATTTGGAGAGATAGTACCGTGGCCACCATCCTGGTTGTCATTTGCGTGTTTTGTTAAAGTTGCCGAGAATTAGGGTTCAGGTTAGGTTTAGGGATACATTTTAGGGTTCAGGTTAGGTTTAGGGATACATTTAGGGTTCAGGTTAGGGCTAGGGATACATTTAGGACATAAGTTCGTGGGTTGCGACTACCAAGATGACGGCCGCGGTACTATCTCTCCAAATTTACCCCCAAATATATTACTGCTTAAAAGTTACTATTTACACTAAACTTTAAAAGGAAATATTTCTGATTCTGTTGAATTTAGTTTAACATATTCAATCATAGTGTAAAAAATTAGACATTTTGATAAATGAAAGAGAAAAATAATTCTCACAAAATGAAGAACATTTTTGAGAACTTAATTTAGAGAATTAATAAAATTTCAAACTATAAGTATTCTAATTTGTTTTAATTTAATTTGGACACTTTAATTGTTAGGTGCAGTTTATCAATCTTCTTTTCATAGATATGATTTGATCACATCCACTGATCAATCCAGTTTTTTTGTCATTATGTCTTTAAGAGGTATTACATTTTAAAAATAAAAACTAAGGTTGTAAGTCATATTATTCTGTTTAAGCTTAGTTGAAAAAATGTAAAAACTTTATTGGTTTCTGTTTTTAAGATCCTCTTGATACTGTATATAAAATTTAATAAAAAGATTTCTAATTTTTCATGTTGAATTAAGAATTTAGTACAAATGTATTCCTTAAATTATGATTCATTTTCATTTAATAGCATCCACAATCTTTACTGAAGAATCTTGATATGTTTTATTTTCTTATTAACTTATTTCTGATTTTAACATATAGATTGAGCACTATATTTTGCATTTAATTAAGCAATGGAAGTGCATAATTTATACATTAAAATAATTGAGATTACCTTCATATATTCAGGTCTTCATCATGGATGATGACTTTGACTATAATGACACTGCCCCATGTCCAACAAGGCCACAAGAATTCCTTTTGGAAAACTTATGTGGCAAAAAGGGCCAAAGTGCAGGTGGCTACTCACCACCAGCACCTCACAGTGCAGCTATGCGATGGAAAGAAATGAATGAGCAAAATATGATGCTTCAATTAGAAGAAAAACATCTGGTGAAGAAACAGAATGTACAAACATCAAAAGAAGCGGCACGTGAAATCATCAGGAAAATACCCGTTGAGTTATTGGCAAAGGAATGGTTATCTAAGGAAGATGCTACAGTGGATATGCGTGCATACTTAGTGGACCATGTCAGTGATTTAAAAAAATAATATTTTTTAATATGTATTTCTTTATTTTGTTGATTTTATTTCATTATAAAATAATGCATGAAAGAAAATAAATATTAGAATAACTAAATGTGAGCCTACTGTTAAATACATTTGTTCTTTTTGTCAGCTTTATGAATAAGAGAAACATGTTTAAGAAGAAAATAATTTCCTTTTTTAAAAATAGTTGTAGACCATATTTTTAATTGGATCTTTATTTAGAAAAGCAATATTCTAATCAGGTTTTGCCCACACTTATACTGGGAGTTGAAAGATTATTAAGAGAAGTAGATGAAAAGGGACTATCTGCAACTAACCGATTCGAGCCAGAATTCAACCCAATCAATTTCCTAGCTCAGTACCTCATGAGAAACAATCCCAGGTTCAGTAATTTTGCAGAAGCATCTCCCTATGTCAGAGGTCTACGTGAAGTGTCTGAAGAAATTAAGCAAGAGCTGTTTACGTTTGAGGATAACAGGTTATATAACTTGGTTTTAATTTTTTTGGGTACATCTATTTTTAACTCGCCATTACTTAATCAGAAACAAAAGAACTTAATAAGCATTGCAACAAAGAGATACAATTTTCATTTGATTATGATACATGTAGAGAAACGTAATTTTCATTGTTCAAACTGGATTATTAATGTCTAAATGTGATAGCAATGTTAGCTAATGTCAAATTATTAAACTAAGATGAATGATATCTTCATAACCACTGTGCCTATAATTTTTTATCACCAGATTGGCAAGAATCAAAGCAGAAAGCAGACGCAAACGGTTAGAGAGAGAAAAGGTTGAACAGGCACTCCAGGAGGCGAAACAGCAAAGACATGAACAGCTGACTTTCCTATATCAACATTTTAATATGCCAAGTGATAAATACAAAGTGGAACTAGCATTGGTAAGAGATTCATGAATTCCCTATTCTATAAATAGTTTAGAAATTTTAGCAAAAGGTAATAAATAAAAATGATTCAATGTATAGGAGATTAGTAGGCCTACGTCACATATTTCTGTGGTTTATGACATTTCAGTGACATTCCAACAGCATATTTATTGAAAAACTATTTTAACAATTACAGAAGCCAGGTTAGGGGTATTACTATTTCTTAAATTGTTGCTAAGGGCGTTAAATGGGTTTGTGTTTGTTGGCATGACAGCAAAAATTCCAGCACTTTTGTCTAATTAAAGAAAGTCAGTGGATCTATTTAGCGTATGTGATTTGGTAGTATAGCAGTGGGTCTATGCGCTTGGGAATAGAGACTAGTGGAAGTGATAGATTGATAGAGTTGTTAGTCAAAATCATATCAAATGGTGTAGAACAAACAACAAAAAGAGAAGAGTATGCTGAAGAACAAGAGGTTAGACTTCAGTAGTGAATACCAAGAAGATTGTATTTACTGCGTTTTCATGGTGATTTTTTAACTGAGAAAGTTTTGACACATGGGGGAATTGCTTATTTGAGTTGTTGCCCTGCTCACACCCAGTGGCTTTTTACACTATTTTCCAACTGTTTGGTAATCAATTTTATTTTGGCAGACCACCATAACAAAACTGAACTTGGGGCGAGATGTCACACAAACTAATGATTGATGCCATATTTCTTCTAAAAAATCCTAACTTTGCTTGTTGTTTGTTCAGGTACAAAATGCCCTGCGTTCTTTTGGTGAGATTGTTGAACAGTGGCCAAAGGAGCAGCAAGAGGCTGCGAAACTTGGGAAACCTTTTGACCAAACAGATGAAACTGGAAAAGCATTGTCTGTTGATGATTTTGTACAGGTAAACACCATTGTGTGTCTAATATGTACATCACATGTGAGCACCTCCATGCATGCTATCCTGGCATGATACTCTTATGTTTTTTTATTTTAAGCCCTATTGTTAAAAAAAAAGTTCACATGCCGTTGTTGATGATTTTGTACAAGTAAACACCATCTTGTGTCTAATATGTAACATTGAATTTAAAAAAAAAATTAAACAATTACAGATCTTGATTGATCTTTGTACCCCAGATCTGGATTTTATTCGTCCACCTGGAAAAAAAATCAAATAACAGCAACTGGTGGTTTGACCTTAACACACATTACCTTAGATAAAAATGCATGCCATGAATTTGTTGGAGGACATAATAGGCCCACAATAAGGAAATTACCATTAGAAAAAAATCAAATTACCATTAGAATGCAGTGGTGCTGAAAAATAATATTATAAATTTGTCAAATTGATGTTACTTTAACACTGCGATTGTTTAAATATCGTTTAATAATAACTATTTTACACCTGATGTCAATGTTTTTTATATGTCTTTTTAGTATTTAAGTCCTTTTGTGGAGCACCTGCCCATGGAAACATTTGATATTTTCATCAAACACATGGCCAAATGTGCTGCACTGTATAGGGCAACAGCAGAGAAAGAAAGCAAGAGAATCATACTGACGAATCTGTTCTTGATGTTGGACCATGGAGGGGTATGTCTAGACTTCTTTTAGAATATACACATCTTTTCGGTTCTAAGAGAACACTTCCTTTTAGGACCATGGAGGGGAATGTCTAGATTTTTTTTTAGAACATGCACATCTCTTAGGTTTTCAGGGAAGACTACCTTTTAGGGGCGGTTTGGGGAGGGGGGGGGGAGGGGGGGATTGTTAAAAATTTTCATCAGCAACAAAAAAATGTTCCTTTGTCAATGTAAAAATGGTAAGGGGTTTGGGGGGGGGGGGGGGGGCAGGGCTGTTGGGTATTGTGGAAACACTAGCGAACCTAGGGGCGGTTTGGGGAGGGGGGGGGGAGGGGGAGATTGTTAAAAATTTTCATCAGCAACAAAAAAATGTTCCTTTGTCAATGTAAAAATGGTAAGTGGTTTGGGGGGTGGGGGGTGTGCATGGCTGTTGGATATTGTGGACACACTAGCGAACCTTTCAATATTTGTTTTCCAAATGCTTATTACAAATATGAATCTCAGTTTGCCAAATACACTATAAATTAGTTTATTATATATATTTTTCATGTAATTATTACTTACATTTGATAGTTTGGTTAGCGACGAGTTTTCATAAATTTTTCACAAACCCCAAAGTAAAACTTTAATAAAAACTTAACACACCCAATAAGTAAACTGGAGAATAAAGAATGCTGTAGAAGTTTTTCTCTGCAATAGATGTGTGTCTTTTTTTCCTTTTCATATAGAGATTTAATAACATCATTCGAATTATACAAACTAAAGAACCATTGGTAATTTTCATTGCACCTTTGCTATCTTTGGTTTCAGTTGTACAGTTTGCTTCTTGCATGTTATGTCACAGAAATGAAGTTGATTATTATTTTGTTGCATAATTTGCCTAATTCTTTCGTATTTCAAGCCCACAAGGCTCTTGTGATAAATATTTTTTAGCAATAATTTTGATGAACAATTTATGTATTTAAAAAATTAAAAAGTACAAAATTTATTGCAGTTTTGATACACTCAGGATACTAGAGATCTTATATGCAGTAATTCATATTATTAACTTTATATTAAAATAAAATAACTTAAACAATATGTTTTGAATAGGGAGACTTAAGACACTTACATGATTTCAATGGATTGCATTTTGAAATGTGCTAAAATTTGTAAAAATGCAATATTTTATGTCTCTAAAATTTTCTAGTTAGTGAGATAAAAAAGCTCTTGACACTAATAATTTATGTTGTTTGCAGCTTGGCCTCTTGGGTCGTCAGCGTTTACTAGAACTTTTAGAAAGATTCTGGGATGTTTATGTGGTAAATGGAGAATTCCCTGGAACTTTGAGGAATCCACGCCGATGTAAGTTTTATTTGGATTTGCAGTAGCTACATTAACCAGTCAATCATAGCTCATCTAGTTTCATGTTTGTAGTGCCTCACTGCACCAATGAGATTGATGGAAGAGAAGAGACATACATCTAGCATGAGATATTCAATGTTTTTTTTTCCACATACTAACTTTCACTAGCGGAGGGCCCCATGAAATGTAAAAAGTCAAAGTGCTTGAAGATGTTAATTTACGCCAAACTTACATATTTCAATATTAAGGAAGAGTAACAAACTTTTTATTAAAATTGCATCATACCAAATTAATACATTTGTGGACCACAAGATAAAGCATTACGTTCTTCTTGTTTGAGACCACAACAAAAGATTCTGGTTTAATGGACTTTTTTGGTCTGGACCAGCATTTCCCAAACTTTTTTTCTCCATGACTTGGCTATTTTTATTCTTCTCATTCATGACAGATTAACATTTTTATTGTCTATTCTGGCCTATTTAATATATAAAAGATATGAATTTCCACACAGTTTTCATATAATTAATAAATAAAGCATTTACTCATTTAAATGATTATGTCATGATAATCTAACCAGGATTTTTAACTGTTTTTTTTTTTTCGTTCTTTGGGTGACCTGGTAATTTTGCTTTCATGGAACAGTACCGGGTCGTGACCTGGCACTTGGGAAACTTTGGTCTAGACCAATGGTCAGCAACTATTGGCTCCAGGGGGAACAGATGCTACTCTTTTATTTTTACTGATCTATAATGGCTCACAAACTATTTACTTAGCATTATAATTTATTTATGTATATTTTTAATTTGGATTATTGCTCAAAAATGTTGCCAACTCCTGGTATAGGCAAAGTGGTAAATTTTGAATCACGCACTAATAAACATATCTGACAAGGTATTTTTGCATTGATTAGAGTTAACCAGGTATGTATAGTTGACTAGGTTTGCTAATTAATCTTGGAATGTAGGGTTGTTTAAGTATGAAGGGATTTTTAAGATATCTAAGGCAGAAAATGGAGTCAGTTAAATTTTTTTTTTACAGGGCCAGTTATTGAAGTTGAGGAAACTGATGACTCGATGTTCGATGCCTGGGAAGAAGAACCAGATGGAGGCCTGACCATGTCTGACATGTACACAGCAGATACAGAGATTTCTAAGATCTATCAGGAAGTGCACAGAATGGCCACCATTGCTGCTGTCCATGACAAGACCGCAGTGGAGAAGTGGAAGATCAAGCAACTGTCAGAGAAAAGTGAAGGAAGTGAGTACTTGAGTGTTAAACAAGTGTATCCTCTTTTCTAATACATTCTTTAACCTTATACAGATGATGTGCTATTTTTAGGCAAGTTTCCTGGAAATGAAAAAACAAAATGTAAAAAAAAATAGGACAGACATTAAATATTTGTAACTTTATGTCTGGTGTTAATGTTAACTTGAAGATGAAAGCCATACAAAACTTCATAAAATGTAATTAAAATAACTACTAACATTACTTAAGTTTTTAAAAATAGTTCCTCTTCTTCTTCTGCTTCATCTTTTCAACTCCCAAAGGAGCATAGGTCATTAACAATTTTTTGCCAAGCCTCCCAGACTCATGCTATCTTCTCTAACTCTTTCCAGTCTTTATTACATCCTTGTTGACCTCTCTTTGTGTTTTTGGGTTTTCCCCCTCCTCATGATCCTTGAGGTGCTCCATACCAGTGCTTGTCATGTTATATTGGTCAGATGTCTTTAGGAAGCATTAATTGTACTTGCATATAATTCAAGTCTTCTGTTTCCAAGTTTTGCAAGTATATAATATCTGGAAACACGAAATATTGTTTAAGTAAGCATTACACCAAAGCTGTACTGTCACTTCAGTTGAGGAGATCTCTGACTCAGGCACAATTTTTTTTTTTTGTGTGTGTTTTCTGATTTACCTTTTTTTTTCAGTGGTAAATGTGAAGTTATTTCATGATTGTGGACTAACATTAAAAAAAAAAATCTCTCCAGCCAAAAACTTTATTATGTCTTCATGACGCCATTTTCTTCATGTTTATGTCAGACTAGAAGATTTTGTTTATTAAACTGTAGGACTACTGTAAAGTACATGGCATTAAACTCAGAAACTGATATAAGGTACATGGCATTAACTCAGAAACTGATGAAAAGTACATGGCATTACTGTGTTGCTTTTCAGTGCGGTGGAAAATGTACAAGTACAATGTGACAGATTTCTTGAACCTAACTGACTTTTCTTACATGGACACCTTGGAGGCGCCCAAGCAGTATATGAATTTAGAAGAGAAAGCAGCAGAGGGCAAGCTGCGCTACCATGACCTGTATCCCATGACAATGACCAAGACCAAGGAAGAGAGGGACACTCTGGTTGACAGGAAGAAGCCCATTGCTCCTGAAGACGAGATGGGGCAAGCTGAGGATGGGGAAAATAATCCTTTGGCCAATGAAGGTTCTATGGTTACTGATGGAGCTCAACCGGGGGTTGAGGAAGAGGGGACCTCTCGTGTGGATGCCAATGCAAATGCCAAAGCAGGCGATGAGATTTTGAATGAGGTCAAAACACCAGAAAGGGTTGACAGAAATAATCAGAATGAGACTGCCGTTGAAGAAGATACAGGACTAATCCAAGAAATGAGCAAGGATGGCTGTATTGTGAATGAAGATAGCAGTGCAATATTAAATAATGATGTGGTTACAGAAACTTTTCACCTTCACCCTGAGAATCAACTCAATATATTATTCCCTGCTGATGAAGTTGGTGCAGAGACTTTTGAGGAAACTACAGTGAAAACACCTTCCCCTAAAATATGTGACAGTACTGGGCCAGGTAGTGGCAATCTGAACAACAACATGACCTTTCCCAACGATGTCACAACTGAGTCTAGTGACTCTGAAACAAGCAATGACACCGACACGACAGTGACAGAGCTGGGGCTGTACAGTGACTCATCCAGAACCTCGATCAGTGAGTCCTCAGAGTTCAGTGATGGCTTCCTGACACCAAACACAGGAGGGGGCTTCAGGCCCCGGTTTTATGCACTCCCATCAGGCACTGAAGATTACAAAACTCCTGAGGAGGAGGAGACGAATGTTGATGAGGAGCTGGAAGAAAAGGTGTCTAGGCTGAGGGAAATTCTCAACTCTTCAAAGGTGGGGTTGCTCAAGGGCCAACCGCCCACCAGACATGATGTCTCTCGTTTGCAAAATGTGAAAAACCTGCCACATCTCCCGCACTTGTCTGATACCCTGCACAGAGGTATTTACACAGACAGAGCCACCAGTCCATATGACCCACTACCTCCAATCCCAACCAAAAAAAGGGTGAGGTTTGACCCTTCCAACACCAACTTTAACAAGGGAGACCACAGTCTGGAGACTCAGCCAGATGAGCTCACGGAAAAAAGTATTCTGTTCAAATTTTTCATCCAGGTTTCCTTTTTTTAAAAGTTTTGAAATCTAAAAAGTTCCGGGCGTTTCATTTGCTAACATTTTTAATAATTGCTTTGATTTTTTGCGTTTCTCAAATTTTGTAAACACAGCATACCTGCAAATCAGCCTAGAGTTCAGTTACAAAATCTACACTAACTTAATGAATAACAGTGAAGCAGGCGTAAATAGAATGAGTGAACGAACATGCAGGGTACACCTATCTTAAGAACCTCTACTGCAATATGATTTTTATTGAAGTACTGATTGTATGCTTTGGATAAAATAGACTAAAAAAACAATGTTTGAAGGAACACCAAAACACAACTGAGAATTTGTGGGGGAAATGGATTAAGTTGTAAAATTACTCTACATTTTCCAGATGCTAAGACTTAGTCAATCGGTTATATCAGTGAAAAGAAAAGTTGCAGAATATTTAAAATAATATTTTTTTAGCACACAATTTGAGAAAGACTATTCCATTTTTGATGTTTTATTGTGATGATTATGTTCATGCTTCATTTCAATATCTGGCCACACCCATGGAATTATTAATTCTGAGAGGTAAGGAGTGAGTGCGTTGCAGGCGCGGATTCTATACCCCTCCAAATATATATATATTTATCAAATTAATCCATTCATACCATCATATTTATCAAATTAATCCATTCATACCATCATATTATGTGTCCTGAAAGGCAGAGGGCTCCCCTATAAATACTGCTGACACCCCCACTGCAATGCCTTTTTCACATTAATCCTTATTTAAGCTAGACTGATTTGCATAGTGTTTGTCTTCTTTAAATCTCTTTAGAAGAAGATGGTGATACAGGGGAGGAAACTGAGCAGGAACAAGATGAAAGTCTTTTGAATGCAACAAAAAGTAAAAACAGGGTCGATCTAGGGGAAGACATCAAAGTTGGAGATGATGAAGACAAAGTTGATGACCAGCAGTCTGTGGGAACAGATGAACTGAAGACAGTGGACAAAAAAGAAATTGCTGAGGTCGAAGAGAATGATGCGGCCGAGGTAGAAGAGAAAGAAAAAGCTGGTATTGAAGAGAAAGAAACAGCTGAGATAGAAGATAAAGAACCTGCTGAGATAGAAGAGAAAGAAACTGCTGAGGTAGAAGAGAATGATATGGCTAGGGTAGAAGAGAAAGAAACAGCTGAGGTAGAAGAGAAAGAAACAGCTGAGGTAGAAGAGAAAGAAACAGCTGAAGCAGAAGAGACAGAAATAATTGAGGAAAAAGAGGAAGACAAAACTGTGATAGAGAAAGAAACGGCTGAGGCAGAAGTGAAAGCACCACCAGGAAAAGCAGAGACTCAAAACATAAATCAGATTATTGACTATGCAACTCATCACACAATCGTCTCAGAACCAGGCCAAGATGATGTAAAAGAAAAGACAGACCCTGAAAAGACACAGCTGGAAGGATTAACAGAAGTAGATGTTTCCAATGTTGAACAAACAACAAAAGAGCAGGCAGAGCAGGAAAAAGAGGAAAAAGAAAAAGACGAATTGGGTAAGAATTAGGAAATACTTTATTAGTAGCAAACAAGGATTATAAGAATCCAGGCTCTGTTAGATACAATAATTTTGCATTAATATATCAGACATGACAAAAACTATAAAAGTTTCACCCAAAAAACTTCTTCAGTTGTCAGCAAGGGTTTAGGTTTCAGTCAACTCTTTTGGCAAAAAAAAAATGGAGATTGATTTCTTTCCTGCACTGGACCATAAACTACCATTTCAAATACATTCTGTTCCTGCTGAAAATGTTAATGAGTCACTCACCTCCTAAGATCAATAGATGTGTGTTTTAAGTTATGATGTAAAAATGTTGAACAGACACTCATGAGCACAAATGTCTCATTGTTAAATAAAATCTATTTTATTTGAAAATTTAATGTAGACATTTTCAAACCTGTGGAAAATGAAGTGGAAATAATTTCCATTTCATTTAGTTGAAGGTAATGTGTGTTTAATATTCATTTATTGTTTACGAATTTAATGTTTTAACTTTGTAAAATTACTCTTTTCTGTTTTTTCACCAACTGAATCCCATTAACTAATTTTGCTTTTTCCTTTTTGACTAACTTCAAATATTTTTCTAAAGCAAAATAAAAATGTATTATTTCCATCCTTAATAAATTTTAAAAAAACAACTATTTTAACATAATTGAAGAGATTTGTAAAAAAGTATCAATTTTTAAAATATGTGATGAATAATTTTTAATTTTGTAGATAATGTGCTATTTCATATGTAAATAATTTATTCATTATGCATGATATAAAGAGTAAGTATTATTCTGATGCTGGCTTAAAATATCCTTTCTAACTTGTGGGGTTTTTTTTGTGTGGATTTTGCTTGGCAGATGAGACGCTGGCTGGCAAAGCACAGAATACTGAAGATCCCGAAAAGAAAGGTAAGCAATTAAAAAAAAATTCCCAGACTCAGAATTTTCCGTCCAAACATTTTTGAAAGAAATTTACTGATCAGGTTATCTGTGGGGTCAAAGATAGTTTTTCTCTATCTAACACTGCAGGATAAAAGACTAACTCTGGGGCTCCAACTGAGATGGTAGAAACAAGACACAGGCTATGAAAATATGATACAAATCACACATTAATTGTTTTATTTTATTTATGTAATAGTAAATGAAACAATTTTTGTTATGAAAAAGCTCATTAGAGGCAGGAGATAATCATAATGTATATAATGTGAGAGGTTTATAAGCTGTTTTAATTTACACTGGCAAACTTCTACAGGTTTAGAATTTAAAAAAAATGAAAAAAATAAGAGATTTTAATGTGTTGTTTTTCTGAATGTTGCTCTTCATTCTGAAGATCTCTCAGAGCTGATGAAGAAGTTGTCTTTACCAGTTGGAGAGTTTCTCAATTTTATGTACAAAGATGAGAACATTAATTTTAATAAACAGCTTATTGATGCTAACATAAACAGCTGCTATCGAGTGCGCAACATTAGTAAGTTGTCAAATGTTACATGTTCAGTTCAAACTTTTGAGAGATGTTCTGTTTCCTTTAACAGCTTTACTATTTTTTTGCATGAAAAACAAAAGTTACTTTTTTTTCTGAGGCATGCAGAACCTGAAAAATGCCATACAAGGACCAATATATATATCAATTTTTAAAAAATCATCATAAATAAAAAAATTTGAATGTTTAAGAGGTCTTTCCTGATCAAGCTATAACATTTCATTGGCTTTTAGCTTTACAACAGATCTTGATTTACATTTATTCATGAATTATCTTGATGTCACATGAAAATATAAGTTTAAGATTCACAGATTTAATCTTTTAAACTGTCACATAAATTTATTAATTGGCTAGGTAACCAGAAGTTCATATAGAAAAAGTGTTGTTTCTTTCCCTAGATGCAACATTGAGTTATAATAAATTTATATGAAGCTTGCCAGAAGAAATACATTTTTAAAAAACTACTTAAAATATTTTAAAGTTTTTATTAGTTATAAAAAATTAATTTAAATATATTTAAACATTTAAAAAAAAAAACAATTTAGTTTTCTATCAAAGAAATATTGTCTTATAATTAATTTGAAAGGCTCTTTCTTGCTTAGAATAAAGTTAATCTCATCCTTTTTAAAAATATTTATACACTTGAAAGATAAAATTCAAGAGAAAAATATTTGCAGATGCATACATTTTTGACACGATCCATTTCAATTTAAAATTTTTTTACGTTGTTTTGACTGAGATAAAGCATTACATTTGTTTTAAATTTTTTTTTACATTATCTAGAAAATATATAAACAAGCATACCCTGACATGATTAAGAAATAAAAATTTCCTTGTTTAAACTCTTAAAATGACCTATTTCCTTACACTATAGAGGACATCTTTCAAACTTCCATAACTTTAGTATTATCACTGGTAAATATCCAATCTGACAGCTGTACACTTAAAACAAAAGTTTATTTAAACTCTCCTTTTCTAGCCACCCCAGTTGTTCAACGTACTCAATCACAGCTCTCAGCCTTTGATATAAACACTTTGAACATGTCTCAGTTTGTTGTGCTGTTGGAAACATTTCTGGGCAATGAACCAAATTACGACTATTTTGAGAGGCTAATCAAATTCTTAAAAGATAATTACTCCGATACAGAAGATGAAAAAATGGAAAGGATGATGAAGGTAGGCTACTTGTGTTTTTATTTTGTTACAATTTATTGTTTTTGTCTAGTTTAAAAATGTGCATTGCTGTATTTTGAAATTTAAGAGTTACATTTTAATGTTTTTAAAATTATTTTGTTTGCTTGTATAGGAAAGGTTGCTTTTTTTTACTCTTCATTAGGGCATGCTCAGGTTTTATTGGATTGATTTATTTTTTATTGATACAGAACAGTTTAGGCTAAACACCACTTTTCAAATTGCCATAAATGTATTTAATAATAACAATTCTAAAAATAATATTAATAATAATAATAAAAAGCAACACAGGTATAAAATTTCAATTCAATAAATCAAATGATGAAATGAAGCAACACATACACATATTTTTTATTCAAAAAATTAAATTGGTACTTGTTTTTATGCAGAAGGTTTCATTACTTTTCTTAATTTATTACTTCAACTTTTTTATATTTTGGTTCAAGTGGAGGGCTTGGGGGCCGGGGGGGGGAATGGGAGTGTTGTGAGATCTAAAAAATGTTGGGACAGAGGAAAGTGGTGTGGTAAATAATGGCAAATGTTGTTACTTATCTTTTTACAAAAATTGTAAGGAAATCTTTTCTAATGTGTATTTGAACAGGGTCGTCGTGAGGTCATTTCAGCAAAGAGGAAGTTAATGATCGACACTTTGTTTGAGAAATGGGACAATGATGGCAGTGGTTTCCTAGAGATGGAAGATGTGCAGGAGGTTTTGTTCAAGTACAAAGATGGCCAGGAAGTTGATGGCATCAAGAAAGGTCTGTTAAAAAATAACCTGTTTTTAAGATTTGGGAAGAGGGGAGGGGGGAGGAAATGGAAAGTGAATATTTTCACCTTTTCAAATAAAAAAGCATTCGTCTGCAAAGTCAACCCAGGTTTTATGAAAAGATTTTCCATGCTGTGCTTTTTACAAAAAAAAAAAAAAATTGCCAATTTTGCAATTCTAGAATGTTCTTACTGGCAAAAGCTGGCTGCCCCTCCCTTGGAACACCGGCGATGTCTTTTCTCTGTACTTTACGTGTAATGTTTCTTCAATTATGATTATGGTAGCTGTAGTTGTGGTAGCCATATTTGCTGCTCCCTGAGATGGATTTATGGAGAAGGCATTTAGCCAAAACACCCTCTTAACTGTTCCATCTTTTATCCAAGCCTAAAGATATGATGTTCCACTATTTATTCAATGCATTTTCCAGCCTCTCTTCCTTAAGCCACTGTGTGCAATCATAAATGTTTCACAGACAGTAAAAACTCTGGTGAGTTAATGAGAATCAAATTTTATCTTGCCGATTCTCAGCTCAGACCGCCCTCAGAAAAGCATCTAAATTTAATGACCAGCGTCTCAGCAAGCAAGAGTTCAGACAGTTGATAGAACTTGTTGTCAAAGAGATGCCAGGATCCGAAAACTTTGAACAGTTGCTAGACTTCCTCATGAATTCTGTGGAGGTGAGGACATTAACAAAATTCCCCCCCCCCCCTTTCCCCGGGCCAAAAAAAAAAAAGAAAAAAACCCAGTTAAAAAAACAACAAAAAAAGCCCCCAAGACAAAAATCAGACCGCCCTCAGAAAAGCATCTAAATTTAATGACCAGCGTCTAAGCAAGCAAGAGTTCAGACAGTTGATAGAACTTGTTTTCAAAGAGATGCCAGGATCCGAAAACTTTGAACAGTTGCTAGACTTCCTCATGAATTCTGTGGAGGTGAGGACATTAACAAAATTCCCCCCCCCCTCTTGCCCCGGGCCAAAAAAAAAGAAGAAAAAAACCCAGTTAAAAAAACAGCAAAATAAGCCCCCAAGACACAAACTTTGTTTTGTTTTAATGTGTGCCAATCATTTGTTGTTGTTTTTTTACTACTTTGGTTCAAACTGCAAATTCAAATCACAATCTAGAATGTTATGCTAAGCAATGTTACTAATAAATGAAATAAACTGGTATTCTTTTTGCAGTCTTGATTCAGAAATTTGTTACAGATTAGCTTCAGATGAAAGGATTCATCACAAATTCCTGCATTCAATTTCTCTATTAACACAAGAGTTGAATTTGAAATTTCTCGTGAAGAAAACTAAAAATGAAAAGCATGTTGTGCTATTGTGTGACATATCTGCTTCAATAAGCCCTAGCCATATGTGTTGAGGGGGCTACACTTTCACCCATACCTAAAGGGTAATGATGCTGTCTCCCTTTTATGAATATATAAAAGAGATTAAGTAACATAAGTTAAAGCTGTACCATAAGTAGCGGCATCTCCATGGTTAGTTCTGGTTAGGTTGGGCCAAGACTTTTTGCTGCAACTTCCCTTAAAAGACCAAAAAATGCCATCCCCTCCAATAAAGCCAAAAGGGGCCCTCCCCCCCATGGGCAGCGCCCCCCCCCCCCCCGTACCCCTTTTCCTACACCACAAACAACAGTGCAGCCAGCTGTTGAAATTATTATCTTAAGGAAAGTAGGAACTTGACAAAAAGGTTAATTTTCATTGCCTATAATAGGTACCATGTCATCTAAAATGGCTACAGGAAATGAGCCACTGCCATAATTCTCTAATGGCTACACTTATGACTATCAAGGTTCCCTTTGTCATTGTTTTCTTCATTCACAGATGATTGAAGAAAATAGAATCCATTCACTTTTGAGTTATGGAAAAATTCAGATTGACTTATCAAGTGAGTGGTCAATATCAACATTATATAAAAAAAAAAAATTAAATTAACTCGTGCCATCTCTGATTCACAGAGATCATACGCTGAGCGCATACGTGGTGAGGCCAGGAAAAAATGGCTGAAGCAGATTATTACAGCGGCCCATTTTAGCGGAACGTTGATGGACCCCGTCTACAAGGCTGTCTTCCAAGCTCTCTACAAGGTACCAGCTCACACATTCTGCTCTCAAAATATCTCCCAGGGAGTGAGGTAGATGGAATGCTGTTAATTTAAAATCCAAAAATTCCAAGAATTTCAATGGACAGATTACAAGGCCAGCCTGATTGACGAGAGAAAAAAAAATTACTTATCCATGTTCCCCCATTTGGATACATTACTTCTTTATGCTGATATTAACTTGTCTTTTTTTTCTGTGAACTAACCATTTTTTTAACACTCAACACTATTTGCCAATAATTAAAAAAAACAACAACATTACTACTTGCCAAAAGGATGCTGAGACACACGGAGGAGAGAAAAGGATCAGTGCAAACATTGCATTGCTGGAAGTCAACAAGATGGAGCCACGCAGAGGCCCGCTGTTGTTGAGATATTCAGCCTGCACCCCAGAAGATTGCCAGTATATGCTGGGAAAAGCCCTGTTCAAGAACATGAAGGGAGTCAGGTTGGTAGGCTTCTTGGGAGTTGGGACAATTTTGGTGAAGTTCTGCCAAAGTTTCATTTTTAACAAAAAAATTATACTATTTTATTATGTAGTATATATGAAATGAGTAAAAAAGTTAAGTTGCATATAATCAATACATATAATTATCTATGTATGAAAAAAGTATGGTGTAATGGTGAGTTCAATAGTGACCAAAATAAAATTCCAGATAAGTGCACTAAATGAAATTCTTAAAAATACCTCAAGTGAGTTAGGTGCATAGTCTTTTCTTTTCATTTTAAATATGGTGTTAAAAATCTGCAATGTTATAGGGGGTGGGACATTAGAGTATAATGTATTTCAGGGGCATGGAAAAAAAATTGGGATTCTTATAAAGTGCATTACTTAAATGCATGTTTTGTCAAGTAATTTTGATAAATGGGAAATACTTGCATTGACTTGCTATTGTTTGGTGGGCTATAACTTGTTCCATAATAAATTAATGCAGAGCGAATTTTTTTGTCAGGGACCATATTTTAGAGTTTTCATTGGTTTTAACACCTATTAATGACTTGTAATAGGTAAAATAAACTGGTTTATATAGATGTAATTTACTGATTAGGTAAAATAAATACTTTATTTGACGTAGAAATTAGTAAACAATTTACATGAGCAGGTTACTTAAATTAATCAAAAATTATATACAAAAAAAGTTAATACACAAATTTATAGCTATAAAATTGAATTTTGAAACTTTGAATAATTTCAGTTTCCAAGCCATTGAAACTGGAAAACCTGTCCATGTGCCACGTGTAGCAAATCATGGCAGTATCTACTTCTGGAACTATGATAGAACCCGTGATGTAATTTTCCATTTTACCTTTTCTTGTATTACTCCTGTCACTAATTTTTGCAGCAGTTTACTGTTTGTTCTGTTAATTTATAAACAGTTAATTTATGAGTTTTCTTTATTTCAATGAGATTTGAGTTAGCTAAATTGCACTATTTTTCTAAAAAGTTAGTGTTCAATCTGAAATGAGGAAGAGATATCTATCAAATCTAAAGAATTTCAATACATTGATCACATATTCAAATAAAGGATATTTCAAATTCATGTTGCTAGTGTAAACCTCAAATAACAGTTATGGCTCAGATAAGAATCTTAGTATAGTAGGACAAGTCCTCCTAGAAGCATTTATTCTCCTCTGTTGTAAACAAATGAAAAATCTGGCTATGTCAGTAGAAAATAAACATTAGATATAATATGGTCCATTTAAAATATATAAAGGGCTTATTATATATTGACACATACTGGAAGATTCATGAAGATATAGAACAGATGTGTAATTTGAAAAAAAAATTAAAAATATTTACACTTTTGTGCTAAGCTATGATGATATTTTTTAGCTTTCCATATTGTGTAATTTTAAGAAACATATTTTTCGAGTAAAACAAGAGCTTAACCCTAACCTGTTTCAGGATAGAGATGGTTCCTTAGTGGTTGTTCCACTGAAAGATGTAAAGAAGCGTGTATTCGGAACATTGGGCATTGACACCTTGTGTGACCCATACAAGAAGTCTATCTTTATTACACATGAAGTTCAGTTTTTCCAGGTAAAAGAATAGAAATATGTCTCTTAAGTATTTGCAGCAGTGCTCCTATTTTTTTAAGGTCCTGAGTCTCCTCTCACCCCTCCACTAACTATACCTCTGTCTCTTCTTTATTTTTCATTTCTTATTTTCTCTTCCCCCCCCCCCCCCCCCAAACCCCCTTTCAATTTTTTTTTAACCTTTCCTTTCCAAGTATCAGGGAAATGTTGCCACAATATTATTGTTTTGTCACAGAAAGCGCTCATTTTGAAAAGAAAACAGGTTAAAACGTTTAGGTAGTCTCACCAAGGAGCTGCCTTGTTCCATTTAACAAAACATTAACCAGGGTTTGCCTTGCCGTTCCAAATGACAGGAGCCTAAATATTCTCTATTTTTCTATTTAAAATTTGCTTTATTTAAAATTAAAATTGTTCTGTGTCTATCCACAAAAAAAACTAAGTATTACTTTTGTGCATAATAATAAGGATACAAATAATATGAAGGATTATAAAAGAACCATCATATAATAAAAACTATTGACAACAAATTGTTTAGCTTAATGTACTTTGATTGATCCATGCTATTATAGCAAAATTCAATAGGAGCATCGCAGGGGTTGTCGGAATGATTCATTGTTTCGATGTTTGCTGCTGGTAAGGGACGCCATCTCCGGGTTTGAATTCAGAGTTTCCTTCTCTTAGATGAGTTGCCGACCAAGGTTAATGAGTAAGGTTTTTCTAATTGACTGGGCTTTGGTTGGAATTGAACACCCAACCATCAACTTGAGATTTGCTCAGTTTAGACCACTCAGCCACCCAGCACTCCAGTATAGTGTGGTACATGTCAATCTGATAAAGTCTGAAAAACCTGGTGGTACCGCTTATTTCATAGTCACACCACTGGATTAAAACTTCAACTAATTGGTTGGTTAATTTTAATATGACAATACTTACTTAATTACTTGCTTAAGCCTTTTTACCCTGTCTGGGGCATAGGCCGCCCACAAGAATTTTCCACTCATCACGGTCCTGTGCTTTCCTTTCCTATTGCTTCCAGGTGTATCCCATATAATTTTGCGTGGCTGCCTCTAGGCCTTTCTTCTCTTTCTTTTTCTCTGTGGATTCCATGTTAGGCATTGTCTGGGGATGCTATATGGGGGTTTTTAGAGAGTATGCCCTATCCACCTCGATCTTTTCTTTATGATGTCTTCATCAATGGGCACCTGGTAAGTCATTTCTTGTAGATTTTTGTTGGTGAGGGTATTTGGCCATTTGATGTTCAGGATCTTTCTAAGGTCTGTACTTTCTGCATAATGCTCGTTGAAGTTTTCCAAGTTTCTGCTCCATATAGTAGGACTGTTTTGACATTCGTGTTAAAGATTCTGACTTTGGTTGGCAGCTTCAGCATATTTTCTCCAATATATTCTTTATTCTCAAATGCTGATCTAGCTTTTCCAATTCTAGCCCTTATGTTCACGTTGGATTCACAATTTATGTCAATGGTGCTGCCTAAATTTGTGAAGGTCTCTACTTCTTCCATAAGACAATGGGTTGGTTAATTTTGATACACCAATAGGTTGGTTAATTTTAATACACCAATGGGTTGGTTAATTTTAATACACCAATCGGTTTGTTAATTTTAATATATCAATGGGTTGCTTAATTTTAATACACCAATCCGTTCGTTAATTTTAATACACCAATGGGTTGGTTAATTTTGATACACCAATCGGTTTGTTAATTTCAATACACCAATGGTATGGTTTATTTTAATACACCAATGGGTTGGTTAATTTTAATACACCAATGGGTTGAATGGGTTGGTTAATTTTAATACACCAATGGGTTGAATGGGTTGGTTAATTTTAATACACCAATCGGTTAAGTAATTTTAATACATCAATGGGCTGAATGTGTTGGTTAATATTAATACACCAATGGGTTTGTTAATTTTAATACATCAATGGGTTGGTTAATTTTAATACACCAATGGGTTTGTTAATTTTAATATATCAATGAGTTGCTTAATTTTAATACACCAATCCGTTTGTTAATTTTAATACACCAATGGGTTGGTTAATTTTAATACACCAAACGGTTTGTTAATTGCAATACACCAATGGGTTGGTTAATTTTAATACACCAATCCGTTTGTTAATTTTAATACACCAATGGATTGGTTAATTTTAATACACCAATGGGTTGAATGGGTTGGTTAATTTTAATACACCAATGGGTTGAATGGGTTGGTTAATTATAATACACCAATGGGTTGAATGGGTTGGTTAATTTTAATACACCAATCGGTTTGTTAATTTTAATACATCAATGGGTTGAATGGGTTGGTTAATTTTAATACACCAATGGGTTGGTTAATTTTAATGCATCAATAAGTTGGTTAATTTTAATACACCAATTGGTTTGTTAATTTTAATACATCAATGGGTTGGTTAATTTTAAGACACCAATGGATTGGTGAATACACCAATGGGTTGGTTAATTTTAATACACCAATGGGTTGGTTAATTTTAATACACCAATGGGTTGAATGGGTTGGTTAATTTTAATACACCAATCGGTTTGTTAATTTTAATACATCAATGGGTTGAATGGGTTGGTTAATTTTAATACACCAATAGGTTGGTTAATTTTAAGACACCAATGGGTTGGTTAATTTTAATACACCAATTGATTGGTTAATTTTTTTAATGCACCAATGGGTTGGTTATTGAACTATTAAAAAAAAATATTTTTCATTTTATTCAACTCTAGGGTGTTGCAAAGGCATTCAGTATTGCCTACCACCAAGTGGAGATGCGTCGTAAATTGCTCCGTGTTGCAGAGAGTGCCTTATTATGGATGAGCAAACGATGTCCTCATATCACTGACATTGCTGTCTACCTGGTGGAGCCGAACCAAATGCCTGATGGTGACCCTGTGCTTAGAAAGATGATGGTTTCTGATAAAAAAAGTCCCTGCATTTACTTAACTGAAGTGGTCAGACTGGAGAGGAAAAATAACTTGTTTAGGTGGGTAGAATGCAAGTCTACAATCAGTAGAAATATGCATTGATGGCTCCTGGTCAAATTCAACTCCTTACACTCCCCAGAAGTAAATTTATATTGAGATGATATATTATTATATATTGTTGTATTATTGTTGTATTATACATAGGGGCCATCCATAAATGACGTCACGCCTCTAGGGGGGAGGGGGATCAGATTTTTGTGACAATGTGTGATAAAGGGGAAGGGGGGGCTTAAGCCATGTGACGTCACATGAAAAGCAGAATGTTGTAGTAAAGTATTTCACTTAATAACACTAAATTACAGACATTTTTAATATTATTAAAAAAATCAAAAACAATTATAGTTATTTTAAAACTACTATCAATGAGAGAATCAGGTAGGAATGCTAGGTCTGAAGAATGGCCTCTGATCAAGTTACAGGACGCCCAGTAGTAGGAGAATCGGAATGTAGTTACAATGACAGTCGTGAGAATTTATGGCTAAATCTGAACACGGGAAGTGGGCATGGGATGGAGCAGGAAAAGGAGATTGACCGCGGGGTGAGGAGCAATGTTCCCTTTAAGCTGTGCGGCTGCGCGGCCGCGCAGCTACCTCACAGATGCCGCGCAGCAGTTTTGAGTACCCGCGCAGCAAATTTCCATGTAAGTGTGTGCTTGTTTTTGTGGGCTGTAAAATTTTGCACACAAAAAAATTGATGCTGTAAAACTTTGCACACAACTGTATGATTTTGCACACGAACCAGCAAACCTTAGAGGGAACATTGGTGGGGGGTTTCTTAGTAAATTCTCTAGGGCTAGGATTTTTAACCTTTTTTGCAGCGTTGCAGGCTTAATCCCTCCCCAACCGTATAAAATACATTGTAATAAAATTTAAAATAATTAAATAATTTAGTTATCCTAGATTTTATATCTTTAATTAACTTTTTATAAACAGGGGAAAAAATACCAATACACAATATGCGCCAATGAAATTCACCATTGACTGCTGCTAATCAAAATCCATAAGCTTTTTTTTTTAAGCAATTGCAGCAAATAGAATCAATGGCGTAGTTAGGGTTGGTGTCACCCGGTCCGGTAAGCTTGCGGTGTCACCCCCTCCCCTTTTTTACGATGTATTTCTTCTTGTTAAACTTAGTCCACAGTATAAGAAATACAAGAACAAAAAAAAATTAATTGAAGGTCAGGGGGTAAATGTATTTAAGAACTGCAACGCTATTTGAATCGCCCATTGTTATCAAAGGATAGTTGTATTTATCAGGATAAAAATGGTGTGTTTCTGACCTAATAATATGGTAACCTAATTGCTGACGCATCAACCTTGACATTTTAATATTAACGAAACATGTATGTTGATTGGTTACATGGGTGAAAAATGTACGTGTCATCTGTTATCCTTTTATGAATTTTGGTTAGACCGATCAGTGTGTGTTCTGTAATTACCCTATCTTTCAATTTGGTGTCACCCCCTGAGATGGTGTCAGCCGGTGCGGTCCGCACCCCCTAGCTACACCACTGAATACAATTTATTGGTCTTCCACACCTCAAGGCTGGGGAGGTAGTTGTAACCCTGGTTAAGAACCACTGATCTAGGGAAATGTTTCTGACACGGGTGCAGTAATTTGATATCCATGGGAGGCGAATTTCTTAAGGGTTTGTAAAGGACAGTAGTGGACACGGGGACTTTTTATAGAGGGGCGAGTGCAGAGATTTGTGATGTTATATTTGAGGGGGGTCTAACTTTTTGTGACCATTTGTGACGAGGGGGGGAGGGGTTAAAAAATCGGGAATCTAATCAATTTAAATGTGATAAAATATATCTGCTTTTATGCGAGTATTAGTCATTCTTTAATATCTAAATATTATTATTATGAATAAATTTAATATAACAATTATTTCCTTTGTAGTTACGGGGTGTGAAAAAAATGTTGGGTGGGCTGATACTATAAAGAGGATAAACATTTCTCAAAACATCTATGCATAGATACTTCTATTACAAGAAGGGAATGTCTCATTTACTATTTACTAAATATACATTTCAAGGGTTTGGACAATTTTTGTTTTTTTTTGTTTTGAGGATACAATATCTCAAAACCTGATTAAGTTATTTATGTAAAAAAAAATGAGTAGAATTTGAGAGATTTTGCAATAGCAGGTATCAAGAAGCTCAACTTCCATTTTTATCCTGGTTATACCGAGTCGTATCTTCTAGCTATTTATCTTGAGATTAAGAGGATATAATTTTAAAAAAATAACATCTAATGCCTGTGTTCTACCATAACTTCCAAATGGTGGTATTCCTGAAAATAAATTTAACCTGAAGAAAGACTTTACACATTTTTTTTTGTTAGAAATTTCATTAATTTGACCTGAAATTTGTTGTTTTATTTGATAAAAAACAACACCAATAAAGTCTCAGCCTTTAAAATTATTTTATTTACCCTCTTACTGTATTTTACTGCAAACATAATTTATTGTCTCTTAAGAGATAAAAAAATTAAGCATTATAATTATAATTTCAAAGTTGAGAATATTTTTATAAACTTAACTGATTTAAATTCATCTTAAAATATTACATTTGGTCTCAAAGGAAAAAAAAAATCAATTTTTAGGGTGGCTAAATTAATACTGTATTTATCGGCATATAATACGCACTTTTGTCCCCTGAAAATAAGAGGCAAATGATGTGTGTGTGTTATAAGCCAATATAATTTAAGTTTTTTTCCTGAAATTTCCTTCTTAAAATGAGGTGTGTGTTATACGCCGGTGCGTGATATACGCTGGTGCGTGTTATACGCCGATAAATACGGTAATTAAAATGTTCTCCACATTAAAAGAACATAAGAAAAAAAAAAGATTATTTGGTTTAACTCAAGTTAAGAGGTATAATTCTTGTATTCATGAAAGAATAAACATAAATTTAAAAAAGACTTAATACTCTTGGTAAAATATTTCATTCATTTGATCTGAAATGGGTTATTTTTTTTCATAACACCACTAATCTTACAGAAATCCTGCATAAGCTTACATTACCAATATTAATGGAATTTTTTAAATAGGATTACACTTCCTATGATTATTTCCAATAATCTTTTAATAAATATTTTCATCCTTGGTGTTAGAGACTATCTGTTTCAATGCATGGAAAACTCTGATACAGTGATGGCTGAGGCCTACGGGGAAAGGCACACTGCCACACCACTGAGAAACCTGTCTGGCAAAGCCCTGGGAGTGGTAGACATAAGCATAGGAGAGATCAAGAAACTGCCTCAGTTTGAAAACAAGGAGGCTCAGAGAATGCTGAGACTGCTGCAGAAGGCCTCCAAAGATATTGCTGGAGAGAGCCAAGGTATTGAGAGGAAGAGATTGCTAGGTAAGTCTAATCTGTTTTTTAAACATTCTAATAGGTCAATTCTATTCTCACCAATTGATTAATGTTTTTCTTTTCACTAACACTTAAATTCTGAAAAGGACTATAAAAGGGATGAACTTATTTACAAAGAACATTCTGTTAGTCCTCCCCATCTCTGCCTAATATATTCATGTGCATTTCCTACACAGAAGCAGAAAAGGATGATAGCAGCAATGTGACAATGTTGTTTGAAAGCTACATGCTGGCGGAGCTGCGTGAAAACATTTCCAAGCTTGACCAAATGGCCTTCGCAGAACTGAAAAGCTACTACCAGCCACCAAAAGTCATTTTGGAAATATGCCGGGCGGCCCTGTCCATTTTTGATGCAGAAAAGGCAGGCGAGGGGCAATATGAGGACTGGCCTGTAGTGAAAAATGTAAGTGGCAAAATTCATTTTATTTCATTAAGTCAGGGTATTGAACAATGCCAACAACTACTTACTATTAATAGCTTCAGCAGACCGGCTTTTTAACCTACTATTGGAAATGTGTATGCAAATTAAAATGAATAACAGGTTCTTCAACTTATTATTATTATTTTTTTTTAAAACCTAGATTCAAATAAATGTAGTAGCTCCATATTAATATTCTCAACCTTGACTCAAACTATGCAGCTCTCTTAAGCTAACATATTCAGTTATATAATGCTACAGTTACATTTTATCATTTTAACACCACCCCCCCAAAAATAAATTATCTGCCATCCGCACACTCTACTCTACAGAGCATTAACAATGCTTTTATCAATCAAATCAAATCATACGACCCAACAAAAAGTACAGAATATGTGAAAGCTGAAAGAGTTTCCAGATATTTGAAAGGTTAGTAAATATTGTTCATCTGATTTGCTGTGCTGTGTTATTTAAAAAAAAAAAAAAACAATGCAAGGTTTCTGTGCACTGAGCACTGTGTACAGCACTGAATTATAGTAAAATAGAAAAAAAAATATTTGAAAAGAAAAATACCCTGAAAATATAAAATTAGCTCCATCATTCCCACTGGACTCTGTAATTAAAATAGACATATTTTTTTGAAAATTCAATTGGAAGTTATTTTGATGAGTTAATACTGATAATTTATTTCAACCAAATGAATTTAAATTATAACACAAATTTTATGGTTTGTTTCTTAACTTCCTGTGATTGCAAAGCATGGAGCTTTAGATATAAAACTATTATTTAAATTAATTATAAAATGCATTAATTTTAAAAAATTTAATATTGACCTATATTATTCTTTAATATTGACCTATATTATTCTAAAATAGCAACATTCAGTAAGTGAAATTATTTTGATAATTTATAAAAAAATTTTTTTTTAGTGCATTTTAATTGTTAAAAGTTATTTTGCAATCATTTCATTAATTTTTGTTTTTAGCTTTGCATTTGAAACATTATTTTAGTTTTATTTGAGACTTTGTGCAAGTCACTTTAGCTTTCCTCATTCTTCTGCTTGTCTGTGACATGATTGAGTTTAAACAAATGTATTTTTTAACAATGCTTTGATTATAATAAGATGCTAGAAAAATATCCATTTGTCACAATTTATCTAGGAGATTTCACAATGTTTCTGCATGGTCAAGATGGTTTTATCCAACTCATCAAGAATTTAGTTTTTCAATTTAAAAAATTTTTTTTTGGGGGGTGGGGGTGTTGACAGGGCATTTCATATTAGAAATAAGTCTCTAATCATGAAAAGTTTTGCAAACCATTGAAGGAAACTTTAATGTGTGGAGAGGGAATATTGTGATATTCAGGCAAGTTTTGCAGTCCTAGTGTTTTCCCACACAATACTTCATAAAATATAAACTTATATCCATATCGGATATAGAGTCAATTTTAATAAGTTTATTCTCTTTCACCCAGGTATTCCTCACGGTGAGGTTGGCAAGTATGGTTCAATACCTGCCTTGCTGCTGTACAACTGGGTGTTCTGTGTTTTGTCATTGATAGAGAGCACCATCAAAATGAGAGAAGCAGAGGAGCAGTTGCAAACCTTGATAAAAGCCTCAAACCCTGTCACTTCAGATTAAAGAATGTCTTGGTGTATCAAGTTTGCTTTTTTAATTCTCTCCAAGCAGGATTAAAATTATTTTGGATGCTCAAGTTTTCATTTATTTTATTTAGAGATTAAAATATTTTACATGATGTAGCAAAGATCAAATCTAAGCAAATGTGCCAGTTAAAACATGTGGTTTTAAAATTGTTAATAGGTTTTGATTGGTCAGCTTAAAATACATTTTTGATGATAAAATGGCAACTGAAGTAAATTCATTTATGTTTGTCTCTTAATCTGTTAATTATAATAGTTAAGTCATTTTCAACATTTTGTGAATCCGAAATCCACTGTAGACTAAAAGTTATATGTCGACCCCTCAGAGAAGGTCACATTATGAAACATATTCATTTATTTCTAACACAATGGGTGGCTTTTACTAATCATGAATTAAATTTCAGTTCCATGGTGCAATGTTGTAATGAAATCAATTATTTAAATTGAAATTTGTGATGAAATTTAACTTTAACCAAAATTAACTATGGCTCATTTTTTTTGCCACCTGCTGTTGTGAATTGCATTGTGTGATTTTGTTTAAGGTGATATAATAATTTTTTTATTAATGCAAAGGGCAATTTAAACATCTTTTTTTTTTAAAGTAGAGATTATTGACAAATTGTTTTACCAAAATGTTATAGGTTAACAAACATGTTTTCAGTAAATTGTTTTTTCTTTAAAAAATGATATAAGTTGTATAAATTTTTTAAACAAATGTGTGTAAAATAAAATGTGTACAGTCTTCTCAAATTTAATATCTTTATTTCCAATATTGTTTATTATTGTCTGTTGTCATGCAGCTAAACACGATACACAGCAAACAGAACTGTATTTAAGAACTGTTTTGTACAGGAAATCTCCCCTTCTGATTTAATCATATTCCTGCTACTAAATAAAATGATACATACTTAATATTTAGTAGAATTGAAATAGTTGCATAACTTTATCACTCTAGGAATGCTGTTTGAGAACTCAAAAGTATTCAAAACAACATTTTGATAATTTCATTGCAGAAAAATTAATTTTTTTAAAAAACATCCCATAAAATATGTTTTTATTCATTTTATCAGACATTAAAAAAAACAAAAAAAACTATGTGACGCCATAGTCTCTTTTTGGTATTATTTAGAATTTCTTTCATCAACAACAGAAAAGAAAAATCATATGCTTAGACAGAGTGCTTGCAAAATGTTAGGTTCTTATTATTTTTATTAAATTTTTTTTGTTTACATTCTTAACTATAAATATGACAGTTTCTTTTGATGAAATGATGTCAATGATGCCTCGCTGTCAATAAATTTAATATTAATCTTTGAAAATAGGAAGTGATTGGAAACATTAAAACTGCAAGTTGTTTTCCTTTCTCCTTTCATTATTTCAAGATTATTGTAATTAACTACCAGCCATATAACATTGTGAAATTCAATAAAAAAAAAATTAAATACCAGATTGTATTAATATTAGCTTATATAAATGTCAATACTGTGATATTGTAAATACTTCAGAGTTTTGAGCGCTCCCCTCGCTTTTTGCATTCATTGTTGTAGAAATATGTTTATTTAATTATTTTAAACTCAGAATAAAATTGGCCTACATCACAAAGTTTTGAGAGCTATGTCCCCTCCTATTGTAAAGCAGACAATAATGTGGACTTGGGGAATAGAAAATAAAAGCTAACAATCTCACACATAACTTGTGATATCCTCTTTTCCCTCTATTAATTCACATACTAAATTTTAGTTAAATATTACACAATGGTTATTTAATTAATGTTTATGGTATATCTTAGAAAATCCTTCTAAAAATATTTTGTTGATCAATGATTCTTTAAAAAAATTAAACACACACACCCCGAAAAAAAAGACACAATCGAATATTCTTTTTTTAAAATTTGTTTATTACATTTCAAATGCAATTAATAAATTTATGCTTGCACATTAATAATATTTTTTAGTTATAGTCCTTTGATGATGCCGACAGGACATTATATAAGTTAACAATTAGGGAAGATAACAAGAGCTATACACACAGCAAATTATTATTCTTAAAACTTAAATCTTTTGGTAGTAAGAATACTTGAATATATGTATACTAATGGGGAAATGGCATTATTATGGTCAAAAATGATAAAATGTGTGTTGTTATTGGTTATTACAAGAAGTGTAGGAATATATTTATAATATATTACATAAACTTGTAATGTATACTGATTTAAAGCTAAGAAGTCAAATTTTGGGTAATATTAAACCAGTTAAGCATTACCAATGACTCCTATCAAAAGAAATAAAAAAACAACAGACAATAGAATGTGTGAACTGAACATTTGACAAGCTGTGAATATTGAATTTGAGACATTTTTGTGTCAGCCTTACTTGTTTGGAATTTCCTCAATAGTAAACAGTGGGCAATAGGAGAACAAGGTATGTGGAAGCTTGAATCTTTACACAGTGAGCCTATTTTGAATTATGCAACACATGTAAAACATTCAACTACATCATAACATTCAAACAAGTGAACATTAAAATAATTTGTTAAATTATGAAGCATCACAGCACTGAAATAATACCAATTATTTACCATTAATTTAATAGAACCCACATGGTACAAGTTATCATGATTTTCATTATTATGTCATTAGTATAGAAAATAATTATTTTGTTTTTAGGTGGTGTTTTTTTTGTTTGGCCACAGCATGCATACAATATACAATAAACATCGCACACTAGTCTAAGACTTAAATTTTTTGACAGTTTTTTTTATTACTCATGTATATTTTTTAACATTATAACGTTCTCCAAAACTGCTTAAAATAAACCTGGGCCGTGAAGATGACAACAAATTTATATCCATGTGACTCACATTTGGACAATCACATCAAACTACAATATTAGTTTCTTGAAGGTTTTTCTTCCATTGTATAATTTTTAAAAATAGATAATGACATCACCAATTTATTTATTTCTTGATATGTCATCAAGTTTTGGGACAGTTCAACAAAATTGGACACTAAGAAATGTATGCTGCTCAAATTCGTTTTCCCACCAATCAACTTACCAGCCCTATTAAAACAAAATGATTTTTTGAATACATCCAGACATAGAATCAACTGCACCTAGTCCTTGCTAGAAGGCATATCTCTAAAGAACATGACTACCTTCATCATCTCTGCCAAAAGAGGTGAAATAAAATATACATTCAGATTTATTCTATGCAACCAATTTCATTTTTGAAAATTTAATAGTAAAAATCATTATAAATTAGACAATAATTAGATTTAAAAAGAAATATTTTCACAAAGTGCAAAAATCACATACTTTTTTTTCATGGAAAAAAAAAAGACATAATCATTGAGTGGAGTATGAGTGGGACCACAATAATCATTTTAGGGAACTCTGTATAACTCAAGCAACTATACAATATGAACAGGCACTATGGTTCATAACACAGGAGTGCATTCAGATACACTTAAAAATCTTCTTATCAAACACTACTGAGGAATGTTACTAATTTAATTTGTCTATAACATACACATTACTATACAGAACATGGACACTGGTGCAGAGTAATGGAGGTAAAAGGTTTGGTGGCAAGGGTTGGGAAAAGGGTGGGAAAAGGGGTAATTCCACCAGTTAAATATTTAGGAATGCCAGATGAAGAATAATTTTATTAAATGTAGAAAATTGTCCATCAGTTTTACAAGAATATCTTCTCATTCAAGCAGATGAAAAAATGAGTTTTGTTTCTTTCATCATAAGAAACAATAAAAAACAATAAAAAACAATATTTAAAAAATTTAATGATTCAATAGCTGTGCTTAATGTTTAGACAGTTTTATAAACCTGGAATAAACCTCAGGGAGACCAAAGACCTATAAACAATTTGATGTCTCTCTCTCCTCATGACAGGTAAAACTGGATCTATCAATAATGTCACTTATAACCGCTTTACTTCTTTGTATTACCCAGTGGCACTTGATTTTATCCATGTCACTTATTGGCTCTATGTTAGGCATAAAATAAACCCAAGGCATTCCTGCTTTCTTGATTGATCCAGCTTGGGTAACATTTGATCATGTTACAAACATCTAAACATATTTTAAATTAAATTATTTACTGTTTTCAACCAGGATATATTTCTCTGCAGTGTTGGTTTTATATTTCATGGATGCACATATCAAAGGATACGTGTTAGAGAACTGAACATTTCAGAAGGCCAGCTGACCTTTTGTTTGAGGCAGTGTTAAAAGTCAATAATAATCAATAACAATTTAGACTTTGATGAAAAAAAGAAAGAAAGAAAAGTGTTTTGATTACATAGCAGAATGTTTAAAGTAGTTTAAAAGAAAAGAAGAAAAAAATACTGCAAGATATTAGAAAATAAGGAAGATCAATGTAATAAATTACTTTTTGGTCTAAGAAATTAAAAAAACAACCTTTTCTTTACTGTGATTTAAAGTCGGTATCACAACTTGTAAGGATGAAAAACAAATGTGCCAGACATTTTAACAGATAAGATAGCTTTATTTGGCTGTGTACAGTAAAGTAAAAAAATTAGTCAATAATGTACAATTATGAATGGCTTTAATGTTTAACATTGTAATGAAACTTACTTAATTTGAATCAGTATTCTTAGGCAGATTGACGAATTTCTATTAACCAGTTTAATGTCAGATACATTTTTAAAGGCCCATTAAAAATGTCTTTATTAGTTAATCAGTTAGATATTAGCTATGATTTATCTTTCTTTAAAAAAAAATTAATCCTTACATTAAAAAGAAAAGAGTTACTGGTTCATATTCATCGAAATGCTTTGATGGAAGTTTAAAAAAAACATGCTCTATTTAAAATAAGTGCATAGCATAATATGATTTCTAGGGAGAGAGGAACTTTGATTTTTGATGATAGATGGGGACATCACTTATAACACCTCTTTGGTTTTAAATGATAATATGAGATAAATAACTATACAAGATGAAAGAATAATGATTGATGTATTGAAACTGAGTCAAACAAGAAAAACATAATTTGCTATGCAAAAGATTTAGAATTTCTCTGTGGAATAACAAGTGGAAATTTTGTCAATGTTGGTTTTTATAAAATTCTAATCAGATACAAAATAACTGGAACATAATTTATAACCTTAGGATTATTTTCAGCAACTTCAAAATAAAAAAAAAAACTCTCCAAATTTACTTTTTAAACTTATCTACAATCTAGAAATTTGGCCCTATCACTTCCCTTTAAAGAGATATAGATCTATCCTTAACTTAATCAGTTGCCATATTTTAGACAAGAAATTATTTTACATATTTCATTTAAATAAAAAAACTAATAATATAAAACTAATTTTTCATTGCTGCCGATACCTTCCAGCACTTAAAAAAAATAATATGAATAGAAATAACTAAAAATAAAATACTGCTGTGTAAGGTTGAACAGAAATGACAAAGTATTTGATGAAACTAGAGAAATTAAATGGAGTTAAATCACAATAAAATAATTAATACTTCAATAGCTAAATAATTGTAACACACAGAAAACTTAACAAGTAAATTGGCATTACCTGAGAAGTTAGGAAAATTGCTTTAATTTGAAAATGAATTTTTAGTTGAGTTTATACAAATTTTATGATAGAAAATATTTTAAAATGACATCTAGTTTTCTATTTATTGTTCTAATGATTTTTTATCCTAAATGTTGAAAAACATTGTGTGTAAATTACATTTTAAAATTTTATCTGATATTGAAATGGAAATCTTTTGGCATTTGATAACATAACTTAATACCTGTTCTTCACTTTAAAAAAATGTATTTGGTTCTTAACTTCTTCACAATTCATTTGTCACAATTTACATCAGAAGTGAAGCTCACTTAAGTCATATGAAGCCATGAACATTCTATTACAAAAAATATCTCTTTGATTTAAAAAAAAATGTTTTTGCTAATGCAACAGAGACTAGATATATTTGTTGCTTTGCCTTGGGTAAACAATAATTTATTGTAGCTATAGATGTTGTTTAAACACCACATTGTAAATGCAGTCATGTTTGTGAATAATATATATAAAATTATAAAAGACAATTGAAACTAATTTGAGCATTTCTTAGAAAGGCCCATCAGGCATCTATTTAAAATACTTTGGTGCTCCTCTGATGTTTCAAAATAGTTAACATTGCAAATATTTATTCATAAACATACCTTTTTGTCACCAGCACTTACACACATATATGAATATATATTATTTTTTGGTAATGAGAGAGTAAGATTGAATGGCACAAATATATCCAGTTTTGCTAGTATTTTCCTGGTTGACTTATTGTCAGTTACATTAAAAGATTTACCTGCAATAAATTTGAACTGGAAAAATGTGTTCTCTGGTTAGGGCTACTGAAACACTGTGCTTCAAAAGTAGTTATAATTTTGCCTCTTTTTTTTTCTAGATGAAAGCTTATATTTGAGCTACAGCTTTGATCAAGGTCAGTTATAGTGTTGATAATTTTTCCATCAACAAGTTTTAGCAAAAACATGTCATCAACATCATTGACAGCATTTTGTATGACATTAGAGATACACAAAGCAAGGTGATGAGTGCACATATTGAAAGTAATCCACTCTTCAAAGTTCATACAATATGATAATTCAGCATGTAGCATAAAACCGACTTATGCAGGAATGTGGTGAATTTGAGCTTTGTCAACTTCTTTTCAGAGTCAGAATCATCATACATTTCCTCTTGATTAATGGAATCTCATTTACTTTCCCATCTTTATAAAGAACAT